GCCAGCCAGGCATCAGATCCAAGACAACCATCCACACATATTTACACACCAACAGTTTTGCTGGCTGCTTGCCTGCGACACTGCCTTACTTACATCCAGATACACAACAAAGCTGTCGACCGACCAACGAACGAACGACAACGACGACGATGACGCTGAGCAAAGCAGTCACAGCTCTACTCCATCTATCCATCCATCCAACCAACCCGCCAGGCAGCTAGCACAGCAACACCACGGCCTGCTTTGCCTGGCTGTGCCTGCAATGAAGGGAACAAACCGCTGTGCTAGCTGGATGGCTGACTGCCTGCCTGGCTGGCTGGCTCAACGTCGCATGTAGTTACGTACTCAGAGGAGATAAGTTGTGAGAGAATCAACAGCAATAGCAACGGCAACAACAACAACAATGGCGAACGAACAACAACGAACGACCGACTGTGTCGCGCTGACGTTCAACATTCTTTGTGCGAAAACTCAAACGCACATATACACACCGTTCGAACGAACGACGACGACGACAACAATGGCAACAACAACAACGAACAAGCTTTTTTGTTGCTCAATGTGGAAATGTGTCGGTGTGTGTGTGCGCGCGTTTGAAGCTGTTATTTTTGTGAATTCCATTTTGTGTTTTAAATTCGCTTTGCCATCCACAACAGCCTGCCGCCTTCCTGCCTGGCCTGCCTTGCCTGTTTGTGTGTCCGCCACATCTATCCAACATTCGTCCATCCATCCAGCCAGCCAAACAGTCAATAGTCCGCACGCCCAATCTTCTTCTCCGTCGTTTCCAGGGTGCAGAAGGCAGGCAAACGGATCCAAAATCTCGTTTGATTTCATCTGAAGTAGGGGAAAACCGCTGTCACATTTCTGTCCTGCCTGTACTGACCTCCGAATTCTGATACTCCGCCAAACGTCCTATTTTCCAAAATATAATTTAAAAATATGCATCCACTCCTACTCACAACCAAACATAATCAACATCAATTTTGCATTCCGCTCTTTCCGCAAATCAAATGCTAAACACCTTCCCCTCGGGGATATCTTATTTAATGCTTGCCTCAACAAAATGCAACAAGTGTCGTCATAATAATTTCAATTTCATTTTGAAATTCAAAAAAGGAAGTATGGATAACATCAAAGTGATTTCAGGATATCAAATGATCCACATAAAAGGAAACACTGCTGCTCATTTGAATAGGCGCACTGTCATATTGATGATTGTCATTGGCTTGCGTAGGACCAAAGTCGAACTAAGCCAACCTAAAACTTCTTTGATCCTCTTCCAAGAAGCCAGTCAATGACTTAAGCCAGTCAACAAACAAAAAACGTTTTATGTACTCTCACCTTTAGTTATGCAATACTACATAGCGTTTTTGGAGAGCGTCTAAAATAAGCTGATAATAAGACACTAGCATGATGCGTAATTGGACCTGAAGGCAGATTGGGTGTCTTAGAAAAAAGCAGAGATTGACCAAAGGGTAATACCTATCCAGGAAATTCTGATAAGACCTTCCTCGACAAACCTTGGGACAAATTCCTGGTTTCAATCTACTAGTTTTAGACTGCATGTACAACTGGCGCCCAACGTTTCAAACGTGTGCAGCGTACTCAGGCAGACATGGAGTGTTGCAAATCAACGTTGGAATTGTCAATCTGTGTTATATTCCAGGTTTTAGATTTGATCTACAACTGGCGCCCAACGTTTCAACTGTGTACAGTGGCGTCAGGCAGCCAAAATATAGGGGCTTTTGAACTTCATGCGCAACTGGCGCCCAAACGTATACAGTATCGTCAGGAAGCCGTGGATAATGTAGCCGCTTTTGAACTTCATGTAGAAGAAACCTTCAGCCTTAGAAGAAACCACCGGTATCATTCTACGGGGTTTGGACTTTATGTACAACTGGCGCCCAACGTTTGCAATACGTAGAGCATCAGTCAGGCAGCCGTAAAATGTAGCCGCTTTTGAACTTTATGTACAACTGTCCCCCATACAGTATCGTCAAGAATTCGGGGAATATGACAAACCAACCTTGAAAGAAATCCCCGGTTTCCTGCTACGAATTTAGGACTGCATGTACGTACAACTGGCGCCCAATGTTTCAAACGTGTGCAGCGTACTCAGACAGGCCTGAAATGTTGCAAACCAACTATGAAGGTATCGACCCGTGTAATCTTACAGGTTTTAGATTTCATGTACAAATGGCGTCCAACGTTTCAAATGTGTACAGCATAGTCAGGCAGCCGTAAAATGTAACCTCTATTGAACTTCATGTACAACTGGCGCCCGAACGTATACAGTATCGTCAGGAATATAACAAACCAATTTTGGGGAGAAATTCCCGGTTTCATGTTACGAATTTCGGACTACATATACAACTGGCGCCCAACGTTTCAAAGGTGTGCAGCGTACTCTGGCAGCCATGGAATGTTGCAAATCAACTTTGGAAGTATCGATATGTGTTATCTTATAGGTTTTAGGTTTCACATACAACTGGCGCCCAACGTTTCAACTGTATACAATGGCGTCAGCTAGTAGTGGATAACAGCAAACTCTCGGTTTCATTCTACGAGCTTTGGATTTTATGTACCACTGGCGCCCAACATTTCAAAATGGGCAGCGTAGTCAGGCAGCCATGGAATGAAGCAAACCAACTTCGGAAGAATCGATCTGTGTAATCTTACGGATTTTGAACATCAGGCACAACTGGCGCCCAACGTTTCAATATGTGTTAATACACCTTGAAAGAATAGATCTGTGTAATTTTCCGGATGTTTGACATAATGAACAACTGGAGCCCAATATTTTAGATGAGTTCGGTGACGACAGGTTGTCGTGGAAAATAAACAACCAACCTTAGGTAAAACTCCCTGTTTCTTCCCCTGGGGTTTCAAATGTGACAGTGGCCTGTTGTATCCTACGAGTTGTTGGTAGGATAACCAATACAACTGGCACCCAACGTTTCAAAAGTGTGGAGAATAGTAAGGCAGCAAAAAATGCAGCAAACCAACAGTGTTTTCATTTCACATTTTCACAGACCAAGAATTGCTTCCCAGAGCCATGCTGTAAGCGCATTGTCCGCTCAATGCCAATGCTTTGGGTTTGAGTTCAGTGAATTAAGGTCTTCATACATTCGACTTTGGCAGGGATTTCCCCTCAAGGAAATTTATTTTCGATTCGGATAAGATTTATCATTGATCGCTGATATGTTAAATGTTACGAATACGTTATATGTCACGTCATTGTGGATGTTACGTATACGCTACGACCCTAGGTCTCTTTGGACCTAATCCGTTTCAGGACATTTGGAGTCGATCTAGCGATGTCCGTCCGTCTGTCTGTCTGGTTGGATAGTATCCGAGTTGATCCAAATTTGGTACATCGTAATATTATTATCAAACGGAAATGGGCAATATCGATCCACTACTTGTGGTACCTCTCACACAAAATCTTAACATATTCAAAGAAAATAATTTACTGCACAGAGAGAGAAAGGACAATTCGAGTTTGCTCCAACTTTGCAAATCCTAATATTTGCATCTGTGCTAGGTCAGGTGCGAAAATGGAGAATATGGATCGACTCCATCAAGTACCTCCCCCACAAAGGGTAAACATTTTGAATAATTATAACTCATATAAAATTTGATGTAAGTCTCGGAATATCTTCAAATTATACACATCACAACATTTTTATTAACCCAAGGTCTGGTGTGAAGATGGAACATATCTCCTTCTGATACCTCCCCCACAAAGGGTCAACATTTTGAACATTCATGAAGCTCATAAAACACGAATTTAACAACCAATTCCACTGGAATTTGGCACATCTCAATTTTTCCATCAACACACGATCTGTTGTAAAAATGGTAGAGATCGGACCATTTTTTCTGGTACCTCCCTCACAAAGGGTCAAAGTTTTAAATAACAAAAACGAGTATAAAATGCGAAAAAAAACATTCGGTTCTCTACATATTACACACATCACAATATTTCTATTAACCCAAGGACTGGTGTTAAGATGGGATATATTGGTCCACTCCTTCTGGTACTTCCCCCACAAAGGTTCAACATTTTGAGCTCATAAAACTTGGTACATGTCAATATTTCCATTACAACCGTATCTGTTAAAAAGATGGTAGAGATCGCACCATTTCTTCTTGTTCTTTCTTCTTCCACATATCTCATACTAAATCTGGCACGTTGTAATATTTATATCAGTCTTAGGTCAGATACGAATTGGTCAATAATGCCCAACCTTCCACATAAAGGGGTCATTTCCAAATTGATATATATATTTGTCCATTGTATATACAAAAATCAGAGATGGGAACCTGTCTTCATGTAGTTAAATTTGACATGAAAAACTACAAAAACGCAAAGATGGATATTATTATTTGAAATGAGTCGTCTTTTTCTCTCTAATTTCTAATGTGGTGACATTTGCATAACATATCTCCAGAAGAGAACTAAGAAAGACCTCCAAACTATAGATGACCCCTCGAAGGGATAGAATTCATAGAAAACTTCACTTTTCAACACATGGCTGCATATTTGCAATTCCTTTTCACGTCGCAAAGGATCCTCATGGCAAGAAGTGAGAGATCGCAATGGGTATCATCGGCGGGAAAGGATAGATGGAACGTACATCCATCTCCCATTTCTGTTCTCTCTCGCAATGTCATTACCTACATTTCAGTGCATACACTCAGCAGTTCAGTTTCTCTTCTATTGCTCTCCTCTTATGTTGTCTGTCAATGGCGGGGAAAGGGGGTGGATGGGGAGGTTCGGTTCGTTCTAAGGCTCTTGAAAACTGAAAGCAAGGCGCGCGAATCAACAGTCCAATATTTTTTGCCGCTGCTTTCAATAACAAACGTACATACTTACACACAGCTGTGTATGTATGTATGTTTGAGTGTGTGTGTCTACAACACAGCAGCAGCAGCAAACGTGGGTTCTTGCGAGTTTGGTCGGAACTTGCACAGATTTGTGTGTACGTATGTACGTGTGGTGTGTGTATGTGTGTCAGTGTATGTACTGCGGTGATGTGGAGAGGACCAACAACAACAACAGCAACCGAAACGACATCGACGATGTCTACAACGAACGGCAACGACAGCGTCAACATAGATGATGATGGTGATGTGTTTTTGCGTTGTTGTTCTTGTTGTTGTTGGTGTTTTTTTAGGAATACGAAAAACGTCTCCCCACCACCGTACGTACGTACGCCTGCCTGCCGCCTGCCCACCAGCCAGCCAGCCAACTTGTGCTTGCAGCAGTGTACTCGTCGTCCATGGTATGGCCTGGCAGATAGCTGCTAGATGATGGGGAGAGATGGTTAATGAGGTGTCGTTGTTGTCGCCGCTGCCATAGGCCGCCACGGCTACCATTGTTGCCATCGCGCCACCCTCCCTCCACCCCTCGCCCCCCTTGGGATCTCTTGTTCTACTCCTTTTGCACTACACATCACCCATAACAGTGATGGTGTGGTTGTTGTTGTTGCTGCTGCTGTTGTTGTTTTTATGCAATGCTCTGGTGTTGGCTTTGACGTGAAGAAGGCAAACTTTGGATGAGCGAAGGTGGTGGAGGGCGGGGAGAAGGTTCAGGGGCTTTGAATATTGGCTGGTGAGTATGGATGCGACGATGGTGTCTTGAATGGTGAATAGTGGCATGCCTGCCCTGCCAAGCGTTGTACTCTATTATGATGTTTTATTTTCAAGCAGACGAAGTAGACATTCTGATGGTCGGCGGGTCGGTCTGTCGGACGCTCGTTGACTGTAGTCGTTCAGGCAGTTGCTGTTCCTCAAAACTGCACTGTGTCAAACAACTAGCCAGATATTGGCTTGGGCCAAGAAGTCCATCAATGGGTGGATGAATAGTAGATGTTGTTGCTGCTGGTTGTTTGTTTATTGTTGGCGTTGTTGTTGTTGCCAACGAACGCCAAACTACAACAACAACAACACTGGAAATATTCAGCAGTTGCCTACTACACCAACGTTAAATGGGCTCTTTTACCCACTGCGAGTCGAGTCAGCCAGTCGGCACACAGTTGCTGGTCCTCCATCCTTTGCCCTTCATGGCCACACAGAGCTCCTGTTTTGTTATTTCAATGACCGCCACAGCCTTTGTACACCACCACAGCTCGCAGGAGATACGCGCAGTTGCTGCCCATGTATTTGAGCTCTGTAACGGCTGCTGCGACAGTCGCCAATGCCTACAACAAAACCCGGTGGTTGTTGGAAGTCTGCCTGCTGCTGCTGCCGCCGCCTGCCTGCCTGGCTTGCTTGTTGGTTTACTGGCTGTTTCGCACATCTGAAATCGTTGGTCTCTCATTCAAGTGTCCAACTTTTGTCGGAGCGGTCGCATCAATAACGTAACGCAACGGAAATTTTGTAGCGCAAAACTCTTTTCGAAGGTGCGCGGCGCGACAGCGGAGGAAGAGCAAAGGAACAAAAAAAAAAAGACAACACAATAACAAGCCCCAATAAAACAACAACAACGGCAAACTAAAACACCAGAGTGGTGTAGTGCGTCGCGGCGTGTGACCGTGTGTGTGTGTGTGTATAGCAATTACATGTATGCCTGCCTGGCTGTGGTAGTGGTTGGTGGCTGGCTGGCTGACTGTCTGACTGTTTGGCGGTGGCTCACTCTGTACTAGTCGTTCAACAATTTCCTCGGTTCGCTTCCATTTAATCAATGAATGACAACAACAACTACAACAAATAGGCACCTTGGCGTTCTAGAAAACTGAAAGAAAAAACAACACCAACAACTTACTACCCATAGTCGAAAGTTATATATTCTCGAAAATAACGGGTGGCGTTAGAACACCCTCCAGCAGCAGCAGGCCTTTGTCCAAGATGGGTACCCAGCAGGAACCCTGCAATACCGCCAACACCAGCGCCGTCTCCGCCCTCAATAAACCCCTGCGAACAACACAGCGCGGCGGTACCAGTGAATCCTCCACAACATCGGATAATACCAGCGACTTCATTGAGATTGTCAAGAAGCACGACGTCGTCTACAACACTCACCATCCCGATTACAAGAACGTTGAAGTCAAATTGAAGATTTGGAATGAAATCGCCAACGAAATTGGCTTATCAGTGGGTATGTATGGACAATTTGATTAGCAGCGGTGCAGTGGTATTCACTTCTGGCGCCCCGTCCCTCACCTGTCCCTACTTTTGTTTTGTTGGTTTGAGTTGCATTTTTTCACTTTGTCAGTGGGACCGCTCGCTTACGTTGGGGCCCAGTGTGTGAACGGGCGCGTATGTGTTTGTGTGTGCGAAAGCGACAAATCATGACCATTTTCTGTGCTTCTTCTCCCCTACGGTCGTCAACGTTGTTTTTTGCTTGCAAAAAAAAAAAAAACATTATCTTCAGATACACATTAGCTGCTGCGGCGTTGGGCCATTGCAAACTCTCGGCCAGCATGAAAATGTATCTAAATGGCGAAAGAACAACGAATAACAAACAAAAAGATACCAAGGAAAAAACAAACAAACAAAACAAAATACTAAACAATAACAAATCCCAAGTACCATAGTTTTTGACATCGTGGAAATGTGTGTATTGTTGAGAGAAGAGAGAGGGAGAGCGCGCGCTAGAGAGATAGTAATGGCATTCGTTGTTTGTAAATGGATAGCTGCTGTCACTAGAGTAGAATTGCAATGTTAAATGTGTGATGCCATTGTAGCGTTTTTTTTTAGCAAGACTTATAAGGAAAACTTCGATAAAAACTGCATTTGGTGGAATTTGAGGCTCAATTCTTGTTCTATGGAAATGTGAAATGAAAAAAAACTATTAAGGAAAGATCATGACAATTAAGTTTGATGACAACAATTATAATTTAACTTTTGGGAGATAAATTACCAAATTTATCTCCCCACATTCCTGTCTTCCAACGGTAGCACAATAACAGTTTGTTTACATATAAACGGGTTAACCCACTGGACTTGGTTTAAAATTGTCATATCCATACCTAAACTTCAAATCAATCCTAATAAAGTAGGTTAACTGTAAAAAGTTCTAACATAAACGTGTCATAACAGGTGTATTCATTGGAAGCAATGTAATTGTTGTACGAAAAAAGCCCATCACTACAAAAACAAGATTTGCTAGTAGCATTTGCGTCGAAATTGAATTGTTCTGTGAATTTTGATAGCAGGATACAGATTAAAAATACTGAATATTTCTCAAACTAACTTCATATCAGAGCTCCCATTCTCGATTAAATCTCGTTCGAATTCAAGTAATGGTATTAAAATCGGCTTGAAATCAAGCAAATTGTAATTGTTTAACCAAATCACACCTTGCAATATTCTCGCCTTGATATCGAGCTATTTTGATTAATGAAAACTGTCTGTGTGCCTACTTTTGCCAGACCCTGGTTTAATTGTCGGTATTTGAAAGGCACATTTTTAATACATACAATATTCAAGCCGAATTGAAGATTTTTCAGCATTTTTCACGTTTTGTGAATGATCCTTTTTAATAAAAGGGTATTGGTTGGAAATTGGCAATGAAAATTAGAGAGAAAAAAGAGACAGCACATAGCAGTCCTGCGAAGAGTTTGGGTATTTATTGAAGGAGCATTTGGCTTAAAATTATTACCACAAACCAATCTTATCTGCGTCATATTTTCATTCTGGGATCTTTTGGAGTAAAACTCATGGCTTAATAAGAGGGAGCTTAAGGGTGCTCAATTTCAAATTGTTTCTTGATAAAACTTGTATTTTATATGATTGCGTATTGGGATCTGTATTACGTTAAGCCCCCACCATTCTATAGAGGGTACATTAGCATTGTCATTCCGTTTGTAACTCCTCTAAATACTTATGATAGACGCCCTACAAAATTTATATTCTGGATCAGCGTAAAATTCCAAGATGATTTAGCGATGTCCGTCTGTCAGGGTGTATTGTCTGTCCGTCTGTCTGTCTGTCACGCTATCTTTCGAACGAATTGAGATAGAAGGTTAAAATTTTGCACACATGTGTATTTCCCCAGTAGACAGGTCTTCGTATAGGCCGCATATAATGGTACCTCCCTTTATTCGGTATTTTGATGATTTTAGGGACTTATTTGCCGGAATTGTTTCAAATTTTCCGTATTTGAGAACCTTAGTGGGTACTACAGCCTATGACAAAAAATTACTTTTGCAGCTCCTCGTCTCCATATAACCCCGAATAAAGCTAATAATTTAACGGTATTTTTCGGAATCTGATGAAATTTTTCAAATTCCTTTTAAATGGTGAATGGTTTAAAAAGTTCGCCCGGCCTTAGCTTCTTTTTCACATGTTATCTCTAATCAACCTTTGTCGAAAAAAACCCATCAATTATGTTGTTTGACCTCAATATCTAGTCTTTATCTGAATATTTAATTCCTTATCCCATTTATCCTGTAATATGTGTTATACTTTTTTTTGTGAAGTTTACCTCTTTTTCTTGGACTTGCAGTTGTAGGATAATCTAATGTTGCCTGATTTCAATCCCATCTACTTATATCGGATGCTAACATGTATTTAATCTTTGTGATTACTCCTCCTTCCGCATTTTATATTGGCTCTATGAAACAATGGAAAACAATCTGATAAAATGTGACCTTGCCTTACATTTTGATCTTAGACATGTAGTCTAATAAAATGTGATTTTTTTCGAAAAGCGTCTTGGCCAGGACGAAAATTTAAATTTCGTGATCTACTGTTGTATGTTCTTCGCACTGGACTCATAAGTCTGATGCAAATTCTTTTTATTTTTTCCCCTCATTAATTCTAAGTTATATCTTATTTAATTGTGCTATCTGGTGGTCAATAAATGATTGAAGGGCCTTTGCGCAACGCACCGGAGTAGTGACAATTAAATAACAATCTAAAAACCATGTTTCATTAAAACTCTTTGGGTATAAATATCATGATTTAAGCCCACCTTTTGCGATGTTTTTGACTGATGTTCGTCTTTTACCTGCCTTTCCTAGGCTTGATTAACGTTTTTATTATTTTTGTTTTAATAATAACTAACCAAATGTTTAATATTATTAAACGAATCAAGATTTCAGTTCTTCACCGATTTTTTTTCCTAATTGGAAAAGAGTAGCGACTTTTAACATCGTCAAAAACACTGAACCCTAAAGCGATGAGTTAACATCACTGAGAGCGGCAAATGGGAGAGGAGAATTGTATAAAGACATCATAAAAAAATCTATAAAGATGAATATAAAAACAAAGCAGGTGAAAAACAAAACATTTTGTTTGACAGCAGCATGTTGTTGTTTTAGTAGGCATAGTGGAAATATATGAGATGTCAATACGTCGTCTTTCTCTCCGCTCTCTTATGGGGGTAAATATCCCTTCTTGTAAAAACACCTACTACAGATGTCAGATATCAATCTGAAGGGGGCGATTTTTTTTTTTTGTTTTTCTTTTCGTAAGGGTAGATATGTACATATGGATGTATGTAGGCGGTTAATAACGTATGTGTATAATATACGGGAAAATATTTAAGAAAATAAAGGCAATTATGACTATTTCAATGGGTCAACTTTAGTTTCTCCCCTACTCTACAGCATTCATTCGAAATTTTGGAACTCCCAATTTCTGAATTTATTGTATAACATACACATATACCGAAATTAAATGAGTTCCTAAAATCTAATTTTCATTTTCCATTTCAGATGCCTCCAAAAGAAAATGGAAAAATTTACGCGACAGCTATACCAAATATTTGCGCTCATTTCGTGTCGGCTCGAAGACATCCAAGAAATATCAATTTTGGGCCCACGCAGATCATATGGAATTCTTAAAACCCTATCAGGGTCCCGGCAGGTAAGGCTAAACAGCAACAGCATAGCCATGGGCTGAGTTCTGATAATTCTTACATTTCAGATCCAACAATGGCATAATCATTACTAAAGACGAAGAAGAAACTGAATGTGATTTGGGCTTTCAAGTTTTGACCAAGGCCACCAGTAATTCCACCGACGACGATGTTAAGCCAACCTCCTTGGCCAACACAACTGCAGCTAACATATTCGCCACATCACTGGCCAGTGTTTTGCCCAATTTCGTTGGTGGTGGTGGGGGTCTTATAACATCCTCAGCATTGGGTCTTACCACCACTTCATCTGCAACCACAAACGGTTTTTCGGGCGGGTCGGGAGGCCCACTTGTTTTGCCAGTGCCATCGTTACCTACCGTACAATTACCACCCTCATTGACCGCAAAACCCATGATGACAGGGGGTATAGGAAATCCAAGCAGCAGCACTTCATCCTCCACCACCACCCCATCCTTGGGAGTTTCAATTGCACTTTCAACGCCATCGTCATCATCATCTGCATCGATCAGCACATCGAATGGCACAACCTCAACGCCTCTCATTTCAGCTTCAATGGCAGCAGCAGCAGCTACCGTTTTGACCACTCCCTCATCTATGGCATCACAGATATTTGCTCTACCCCAGTTGTCGGCCAAAGGAACAATTCCAATGCCATCTAGTAATACCGCCAGTTCTGTGGGTTGTCTCATCATTGAACCTCAACTCTTCGCCTCGGCTGATACTTTCAAAAAGGAGCTTACCAATGTTAGCACCGCCTCATCGTCATCTTCAAGCACCTGTACCACACAAATAACCCCCTCCAATTTACACATTTATCCCAACATCAGTGCTCAAGTCTCACAGTCATCATCATCTGCGGCCACAGCAAATACAACAAATTCAAATCGCCTGAATCCTCCCTTGATAACGAAGATAAGGCGTGTGCAACCATCACCCCATCAAACTCCAGCACCCATAAATCTAAGTTTCAGCAGTTCGCCCGCGGCTCCAGTAACATCGACATCACCAGCTTTGTCATCACTGGGTTTAAATGCTGCTGCCCTCAATGGATTCTTGCCCACAGTACCGCCAAATCTCCTGTCAACTTTTGCCACAAATTTTGCTCAAGCCAATTTAGGATCCACGGCCACAATCACAACGCCATCGAATAGTTTCCCCGGCAGTGGTGGCGGGGGTCCCTCACCAGCTAAACGTCTCAAAACCGCTGAATTGGAAATATCTGCCATATTACAGGCCAATAGAGATCTGGATGCTAATACCCTGTTTTTCTTGAGTTTGGCTCGTTCCGTACGCTCCATGCCAACAAAATTCCAATCGTTGGCGAAAATGCGCTGCATGCGAATAGTGAGCGACATTGAATTGGAATTGGATAATGTGAATTGTGAGAACGGTGATGGCAGTGCCACCAAGTACTGTACAAACAATACCGATTCACCACCAACCGCCTTTGGCAGCAACATCAATGAGCCCTCGCAATTGGAACATTTTGTCTATGTAATGTCGCCATCGAGGGTGGAGGGAATGATTGAACTGTCATCGGATGATGAGAATGGTGGTGGTGGTGGTGTCGGAGCTGGTGCTGCTGCTGGCAGTGGTGGTGGTGGTGCTACAGGAAATGGTGTCATAGGTTCTAGTAATTAGGATTACTGGCGAATGTTATTATGTATGGAATTTAATTATAGATGTACGTCTTTCTATTGATGGTGATGAGCTGATCACCCATCTTAACTCTATGTGCTTTTAATTTTACGAAGCTTATTTTCTCAACTCTCAGTCTCAGTATTTATAGAACAAATATAATTTGTTAAAACATCACAAAAGGAAAACTATTAAATTTTCCAAATTTTAATTTTTGGTAAAAATTATACATGGGGGTATTGGATCTATAATGTCTTCTCCTTACAGTATTAGTTATATGCTAATAATTATATAAGTAGAAGGCTTCGTAAATATCTTCTTTGCACAACGGACCACTTAAGGGTATATTATAGAATGACTTCTGTCCTAGGAGGCCGTATCATAAAAAACCTCATAGAGGTCTTTAATTTGAAGAAGATCTCATAACGGAATTAATATTAACAAGTAAAATAGTATCAGTCGGTTTTGCCGACCTGATGCCTTGAGCCTTGAGTTATGATTATTTAAACTTTTGACCCTTTATGGGGAGGTTCCGTTGGAGCAGTTGACCAATTCGTATCTGATCTAAGACTGATATATATATTACAACGAGTCTGATTTGAACTATATCGACTACTTTGTGGTTTAGGTACCAGAAGGGGTTCGCAAATATAAATCATCTTCACAACAGGTCCTACGTTAGCAAAAATATTTGGATGTGTGCAATTCGAAGACAGTTGGAAGCTTATTTCGCTTTCTTTGGGTGTTTTGTTTTTCAAAAATCTTGAACCCTGTGTGGTAGAGGTACCAGAAGAAATGGTCCGATCTCTACCATCTTTATAACAGAAATTGCTTTGACATAAATATTGAGATGTGTAAAGTTTAAATAGAATCGGATTCAAATTTTGCGTTTTATGAGCTTCATGAATATTCAAAATGTTGACCCTTTGTGGGGGAGGTACCAGAAGGAATGGTCCGATCTCTACCATCTTTATATCAGACCTTGTGTTGATCGAAATATAGAGATGTGTCAAGTCTGAAAGGAATCGGCTGTTAATTTCCTGTTTTATGAGCTTCACGAATATTCAAAGTATTGTCCTTTGGGGAGGAAGGTACCAGAAGAAATGGTCCGATCCCTACCATCCTTATAAAAGATCTTGTGTGATAGAAATATTGTGATGTGTCAAGTTTGAATGGAATCGAATGTTAATTTCATGTTTCATGAACTTCACGAATATCCAAAAATTTTGACCCTTTGTGGAGGAGGTATCAGAAGGAGTGAACCAATGTATTCCATATTGACAGCAGATCTTGTGTTAGTAGAAATCATGGGATGTGTGAAATATGAAGATAATCGGATGCTTATTTCGGATTTTACGATCGTTTTTTGTTATTCAAAACTTTGACCCTTTGTGAGGGAGGTACCAGAAGCAAATGTTCGATCTCTACAATCTTTATAATAGATCTTGTGTTGATGGAAATATTGAGATGTTCCAAGTCTGAACTTTAAGGATATTCAATATTTTGACCCTTTGAGGGGGAGGTACTAGAAGGAGTGGAGTGGAGGTACCAGAAAAAATGGTCCGATCTCTACCATCTTTATAACAGATCTTGTGTTAAAAGAAATATTGAGGTGAGCCAAGTCTGAAAGGAAACGGATGTTAATTTCGCATTTTTTTGAGCTTCATGAAGATTCAAAATTTTGGTCTTTTTGGGGGGAGGTACCAGAAGGAATGGTCCGATTTCTACCACCTTTATAACAGATCTTGTGTTGGTGGAAATAGTGAGATATGCCAAGTTTGAAATGAATCGGATGTTAATTTCGTGTTTTATGAACTTTAAGTATATTCAATATTTTGACCCTTTTAGGGGAGGTACTAGAAGGAGTTGACCGATTCTATCTTCACAGCATATCTTGTGTTGGTAGAAATAATAGGATGTGTAAAATATGAAGAGAACCGGATGCTTTTTTGTGTTATTCTGATCGTTTTTGTTATTCAAAACTTTGACCCTTTGTGGGGTTGGTACCAGAAAAAATGGTCCGATCTCTACCATCTTTATAACAGATCTTGTGTTAAAAGAAATATTGAGATGAGCCAAGTCTGAAAGGAAACGGATGTTAATTTCGCATTTTTGAGCTTCATGAAGATTCAAAGTGTTGGTCTTTTGTGGGGGAGGTACCAGAAGGAATGGTCCGATTTCTATCACTTTTATAACAGATCTTTTGTTGATGGAAATAGTGAGATGTGCCAAGTTTGAAATGAATCGGAAGTTAATTTCGTGTTTTATGAAATATTCCAAAAGTTGACCCATTGTGGGGGGAGGTAAATTCGCTTAGTGTAAATCTGGACATACTATAGCTAGAGCTGAATCAGACACATCGAAGTCACACTTGACACTTGGTATTCTTTCCCCTGTTCTACAGGGATTCTCCTACAATTAAATCTTACTACCTACGCTGCTTAAAATGTTTTAAAATAAGGTAACGAAGATAATACATTTACATGGGTTGGGGTTTTATAAAAAAGTTTTTTGTTTTTATTTGATTTACTTCATTAAGACGACCATTCCTTTTTGGAGAAGGTTTTTCTTAAACGATTCTTATTTTAGATTACAAAAAGTATAATTCCCAATCGGCGATGAGATTTATACTGGCATCATTTGACAACAAAATCTAACTATGCTATTTGTAATGAAGTGCTGTTGCAAGAGGTATTGGATGAAGACATATAAATCATCGAATCGTATGATGTCGTGTTAAGGTGAATGAATTTCATTCAAAAAATGTAGTTTTGTTTTAACATTAAATAGTACAATGTCTGTGTATGGAATTTAAACAAAAAAATATATAAATCTCTATTAGAAAATTAAATAATAATCACTTCCAAAATGCCATCACAACATTAGTTGGGTAGTTTATTGTTGGACCTTGGATTTTGTGGTCACAGCGAAGTAGGCAATACCACCGACAACCAGAGCGGCAACAAGTTCAGCCTTAACCCAGGGACCCTTGTAGGCACTCTTGGTACTGACGGTAATGTCAACCAATGACTTGACATTGGACACCTTGCCGCCATCGCGTTGAACCTTGCGCAAGTTAGCATAGCCATCTTCATCGAAAAGACGTACTACAACATTGCCACTGGAGCCCTTCTTGATTTCTTCTGTCCAGCTGACCTAAAAACAATTGTTGACGTAGGCATTAGTTCACAGTGGTAAGGTGGTTGTAGTTGTTGTTGTTCTGGTTTCACCTACCTGGTATTTCTCATCACCAACTTGAGCGACTGGAACTACTTTGCCACAGGGGAATTCAGCAAACAAAGTGGGTTTGGCTCCATTGCCACACTTCAGTGTGAACTCACCAACATGAGCCAGTTGGGTCAAAATAGTGGCGTCCTGGGTACTGAACGATGTGACTGTAGCCTTGGGGCTGGTGCAGGCGGTGCCATAGGCAGAGGCCACGAACAAGGAGATCAACAAAGCACTAACAAATTGACGCATTTTGTATTTGATGTTTGTTTTAATTCAATAGAGTTCACTTGGAATTGTAGTTGACACGCAACACACACTTGGTTCGAGATGATAAAAATTTGTCCAAAAGAAATGCAAGTTTCACTGCTCTCTGGCCTGTCTGTCAGTTAGTCGGCTAATAGTTCGTTGGGGAAAAAATACTTTCTCATTTGACGTTTCAATTGTCAAAATGCCACGACAACATTGACCACGTCACAACAGGGCTTTTTGCTGTGACAGACGTAAATGTCGGTTTCTGGCGAAACGTAAGGGCGTAGGGTTGCCAAATGTCGTGTATTTGGTAATAGAGTTATTTGTTATAAGAGTTTATTTAAAACAAAATTATGTGGAATAAGAATTGATATTTTTAATAATCAGCAGAACTACATTAATTAAGGTTACCAAGGCCTATAAAAGATCGACCAAGAAGATTACTTTTGACAATAAACTTAGTTTTTATGCTATTGTGATTTGATTCTCTTTGAATTTCAAATCACAATTATGTATTTTGACGGAAGTCTTAGTTGTCAGATGGGCTTATATAACCTATTTCTAATCGCAATAGTGTAAAACTACTAACTACTTTAACTCAAGGCCCACATACGGTTGGCCAAGAAGACTGCTTTTACAATTTGGACAATAAACTGGCTTGACTCTTGTTGAATTTTGAATCCCAATGTCTTTTGACGTCAAACTTAGTTGTCAGAGGGACTAACTGGCCAACCTTAATTTTATTTTTTTTTTGTTTTAAATTATTTTCGTATGTTTGACGTTTAAAATATTTTGATGTTTCATGCATTATTTGTAATGTAATAAGAAATGAATGAAACGAAGATAATATAGTATTTTATATTATTTCAAATGTAAGTATAATAAAATTGAGTCTTTGTCGTTTTTTATACCCTCAGCCATATGGCTAGAGGCTATGATATATACCCTATATATCATTTGATAGGACCAAAACATGTCTCATCGAAATAACGGTTTTAGACTCTAGGTCTAAACCCAAATCCGTTTCAGGACATTTGGAGTCGATCTAACGATGTCCTTCCGTCCCCACAAAGGGTCAAAATTTTGAATAATTATAACTCTTATAAAATGTGATGTAAGAGTCCAATTGTCCTTAAATTCCATGCATCACAATATTTTTATTAACCCAAAGTCTGGTGTAAAGATGGTGTATATCGGTCCACTACTTCTGGTACCTCCCCAGAAAGGATCAACATTTTGAATATCCATGAGGCTCATAAAACGCAAAATAAACATCTAATTCCATTCAGACTTGAATCTGTCATAACTTGCGAAACAAGTCAGCTATTTTTTACAACTTGCAGTATATAATGAATATGGAATTTATGGTTTCGCATAAAATTCGATAAATGTTCGATCTCTTGTACTTTTACCCAAAACAATGTTTTTATCTGTATTTAATGAAGTATGAAAATGAAATATTTCGATTTTTTAACATTTTGTTAAAAATTGTCACATATTTCATACAAAGTGAAGTACCCAATATAGTCCAAACCTGGCACGTCGCAATATTTATATCACATTTATGTCGGTCCGATACGAAATGGACAATATTGGCCCATTCCTTCAGAACCTACACCATAGAGGGTCTAAAATTTGAATAATCATAACAGAAGTCAAAACCGACTGATACTTTTTAACTTGTTCTATTAAAAATTTGGTAACATTTTGGCAGATAAATTTTACACTCAGTGGCAACCTTTGTTGGGCACACAAAATTATTTCCAAACAGTATGGCAATCTCTTAACGCTTTGTTTATTTTCAATGGCTAATAAAATCAGATAATTTGCCGGCGTTGTTTTTGTATTTTTGGGGGATCCCAAAATTGCAAGAAGAATGGCGAGAAACCGAACATCAGATAATGATACAACCTTTACTAATACACCTACACATTGCTGGTCCATCAAAATTAAATTGATATTTTGGCCCCTAATTATTAATATTGTGGAAGCTAATTGACTATACGTTCCATCCATATCCAGTTAATGTCGTACTTTCAAGTGATTCACTATTTTTTGGTGAACAACAAATGTATTTCTTGGTTTCTTTTCACATTCCGTGCGTTAAAATATGCACAACTGATCGATCTTTAAACAAAACAATCGCACACACACATACAAACTGAGTAGGCACGGACAGACGTGTTTATTTTTATGGACGCATGATGAACTATTCTTTTTACTTGACTATATATCTACATGTACAAATCGGATAGATCATTTTAATACCTTGAATATTAATTTAATAATTATCGGCGAATTATTTTAATTCGTTCGTCACTGAATATGTATATTTCACAGCTAAGGTGGTTTGCAACTACAGACAAAAGAGATTTTTGCAATATTCTGATGAAGTCTCTTGTTGTTGTTGCCAGATTGCAGCAGCGGCAAAACCAAAAAGACATATTTTGACGGAATATTTGTATGAATATTCAACAATTTTTCGAAGAGCACCTTATAATATTTCAGATTACTACTTTGCAAATCGATTAAAAAAGTAATTAACAATAAATTTATTGAATTATAAAGGGAAAAACACTAACCTGAAGTAATTGCAGCTCTCTGTGATACAAAGGAATGTTGTTGAAAAGCTTTTATTCTAGCAAATGCAACCAATTCGACTGTTTCTTGAGAATTGCAACGGAATAATTAAAACAGTGTTGCCACTGCAATTGAATTAAAAAGGGAGTTCACACTATTTAATGTGTGATGCTAAAACTAAGACCACGTCCACACGCGAGTAATTCCATCATGGCGAAAGACCTAAATGCTGTGTTCACGTACATCATAGATTTACTTTTACCGATAATCATACCCGATAAGATTTTTTTTTAGCAAATTTATGCCAATATAAATATGTAAAAAAGAAGAAATGCTCCATGCAGTTATTGCAAAACATGAAATGAACTATTAGTCAATTCTAAAAAATCGAACTAAGACAACCTAACACTCCTTTGTTTCACTACCCTGGTAGAAGAATACAGGTAGTCGCATCGACACAGCTGCAGGGACAATGAACTGTCAAACTGATTTTGAAATTGAAAATGTTGAATGAAAAATTATTGAAGTTTGTATAAATTGTTGAAAGATACATATTATATCAAACTCTGATTTGCGTCGTATAAGAAAACATATAAAATCTACTTATTTTTGACAAAACATTTTGAAAATTTTGACATATCAATGTTCCCAAGCGTTGATGCATATACCTATATTCTTCTATCATGTTCCACTACGAAATAGCCAGCCGATGACTTTAGCCAGTCACAAAAAGATTTTAAAGACTCTCACATTTAGAAAAAAATATATAATTAGCTGGTAGCTCTACCCATAGTAGAAGAATATAGGTAGACGCGTCGACACAGCTGCTGGGACAATGAACTGTCAAACCAATTTTGGAATGGAAAATGTTGAATGAAAAATTATTTAAATTTGTAAAAATTGTTGAAAAACGCGAATTATAATAGCCTCCGACTGACGTAGTATAAGAAAACATATAAAAATCTACTTATATTTAAAAAACATTTAAATCTTTTTGGCATATCAATGCTCCCAAGCGTTGATGCATCTACCTGTATTTTTCTGTCATGGCTCTACCTTACCTTTTATTGTACAATGTTGTTACCTTTTTTGATAAAATATTTTTGGCTATTTTTTGCATTGTCCTTGGTTATGTGCATGGTAGTAGAATATAGGTAGTATCAACGCTTGGGAACATTGATATGTCAAATTGTTTTAAATGTTTTGTCAAAAATAAGTCTTTTATATGTTTTCTTAAAAGACGCAAGTCAGAGGTGTGATATGCATTTTTCAATAATTTTTAAAAATTTCAATAATTCTTCATTCAATATTTTCAATTCTAAAATCGGTTTGACAGTTCACTTTTCCAGCAGCCGTGTCGATGCGATGACCTGGAATGTATGCGTAAACAAACATCAGCTGAGCGGCAGCTATATCCTACTAAGTATGTGTCTAAACACACAAGTTTAATTAAACATGGTACAATGAAAAGGTAAGGTAGAGCTACTAGCTGATAACATTTTTTTAGGTATGCACGACTTCTGACTGGCTTAAGTCATTGGCTGGCTTTTTCGGAAAAGAACAAAAGAGTGTAGAGCCAAAATCGAACTAAGCAAACCAAAAAATCATTTGTTCCTCCTTGACTGACTTAAAGGTGCAAGTACATAAAATGCTTGAAGTCATGGCTAGGCATATTAATGTCAAAGTATAATGGAAAACGACGGCAGGATTTTATTGCGGTTCTTTAATCCTATTATGAAATGTCACAAAATATGCCTAGCCAAGACTTCAAGCTTCTTATGTATTTACATCCTAAGTCATATTCTTGCTTATTCGGAAAAGAACAAAAGAGCGTAGGGCCAACATCTAACTAATTTGGAAAAAACCTCTTTTGTTCCTCTACGAGGGAATTTTGAATTTTTATCTATTTTTGAATCATAACTGACGACTATTAAGGTGGGAATACATGGCTGGCTTAAGTCATCGGCTGGCTTCTTCGGAAATGAACAAAGAAGCCTAAGGCCAAAATCGAACTAAGTCAACCTAAAACTTCTTTGTTCATCTACGTAGAAGCCAGCCAAATATCCGCTTTATGTATTTCCACCCTGATGTGTATACATAAAATGCCAGTCCAAACCATTTTGACAATGAGATGATGTTAAATGGACAATTTTAAAAAAATTAAATGCCTTTATATTTTTATTTCTGCCATGAGTAGATTTTTGTAAGTTTTCTTATACGAAGTCAATCGTATGCGTTTTTAAACAATTTTTACAAATTTGAATAATTTTTCAGTCAAAAAATGCAATTCCAAATGCGCTGTTAGAGCACGTTTACACCAATAAACCCACTCTGTTTTAAATGTCAATTCCATAACGAATCACTCACCTAAACCGTATTCATAAATCCAGTGAATATTGTTTGACGTATAAGGTATGAAATTGACATTTGATCTAAAGGTGTGGGTACATAAGTAGCTTGGCATTATGGCTAGTCATATTAATGACAAATTATAAGGAAAAACGACGACAATGCTCGAGTGCAGCTCTTTATGGTATGTCACAAAATATGCCATGCGAAGACTTCAAGCTGCTTATGATTCCACACTTTAAATATACTTTTAGTAAATTTAAACGTACTATAAGACGTAAATCTAACTTCATTATCAATTGAAGTGGGCTAGACACCATTAAACAACATGTATGTAATTGTTAGTTGATGTGTACACTTTTGAAAGGACTCAAATGTAACTCATTTCCAAAACTTTGGACTTTATTTTGGCTTGTTGTTACGTGTTTTTTGGAAGAACTTTGAAAAAAAAAATATTGAGCCTTGTAACAATTTTCACCCATGATTGCATATTAAGCCTTGTGAAAGTCATATTTCTATTTTGATGTTCATACCCATACATACATACATACCCACACGTATTTGATTTCAAATGAACAACAATTTAGTTTTGTGGTTGATTGGTAATATGACCTTCAAATCGAATTCGATTTCATTCGTACGTATGTACTTTTTTTTATTCAATTCTCTTCTATGTTCATCAACAAAATCCCAAGTACATCATTATCGGTAAATTTATTGTCACTTTGCACGAAGGTGGTTGTTAGTTTAACAAAAAAAAAAAAAGAACAGAGCAGAAAATATTAATTTATTATCATATCAACTAATCTTCCTGTGTGCAAATTGGCGCCAATAAAATATATGAACATCTAAGTATATATTCATGTATGTAAAAAAAATAAAGAAAGGAAGTTGGGACCGGGCCCTTCCACCGTTTGTATTAAAAGGCCTTGATTCACTAATTAGTCAGTGTTAAAAAGAAAACAATCCACATATGTACATAAACACATTCGATTTGTATTTGAAATTTGGCAACCTGTTTTGGGTGGTCTTCAAACATAACTTGCTTTTTGAACATAACTTCTTTATGTATTGTAGAAAAGTATGCTTGGAAGTTGGGTATTCATTTTGGATATTGTCACGCAAGAAAGTTGAAAGCCGCCTACAAGTAATCACTTGGTGGTTTACACTCAAAAAAAAAATTATGGTAAAAAAATAGAGGTACTCGCATCGACACAGCTGCTTAGAAAATGAACTGTCACACCAATTTTGGAATTGAAATTCTTGAATGAAAAATTATTAAAATTTGTAAAAATTAATGAAAAACGCATATCATAATATGCGGTTAGCGTTGTTTGAGAAAATATATGATTTCTTATACCACTTCAATCGGAGGTTATTATAATATAAAAATTTTAAAAATTTGAATAATTTTTCATTCAAAAATTTCAATTGCAATATTGGTTTGACAGTTTATTGTCCCAGCAGCTGTGTCGATGCATTTTTCTACCATGAAAAAAAGTGATATATTATGATCTGGCGTATACACAAGATAGATTGTCTTACATCAGAGTTGATACCATGGTAAAAGAATACAGGTAGATGCATCAAGGCTTAAGAACTTTGTGATATCTTAAAAATGTTTAAACGTTTCTTCAAAAATAAGTAGATTTGAGTATGTTTTCCTATACGACGCCAATCGGAGGTGATATGCATTTTTTAACAATTTTTACAAACATGAATAATTTTAAATTCAAAATTTTTAACTCCAAAATTGATTTGACAGTTCATTGTCCCAGCAGATGTGTCGATGCGACTACCTGTATTATTCTACCATGGTTAACGTTACGATTGTTTAGGCTGGAAATACATAAAGAGCATTTTCGGCTGGCTTAAGTCATCGGCTGGCTTCTTCGTAGATGAACAAAGGAGTTTTAGGTTGACCTAGTTCGATTTTGGGCCTAGGCTCCTTTGTTCATTTCCGAAGAAGCCAGCCGATGACTTAAGCCAGCCAAATATGCTCTTTATGTATTTCCAGCCTTACTTGCGATAATGGAAAAAGAAAACATATTTTCGAGTAGTAAAGGTTTGTTTACCTATATTAAATTGAGTGGATTTCAATTGTCGTATACACATTGAAATTAGCAGTTTAAATCCAGCACGTTTAGACTAAAAACCACGTAAATCGTATTCATAAATCCAGAGGATATGGGATTTTAATTAAGGTTTATTCCGATTAATTTCTTTCGGTGCATAAATATAATTTAACTGCTAGCATCACTTTCAGTTTTTTCCCCTACATAAAAAAACGATATATTCACCAATATCAAAACATGCAATATGTAGAAACCCAAATTTGAATCGCATGGGTTTTTGACCGCGTCGGGAGGGTGGTGCTTTGACAAGCGGAAATATTTTGCAAACATTTTGTACACACACACGCATATGGCGATGAGAATTTGACATGGAAATTTGTCAGAGATGAGTTGTCGTCAAAAATTAACACTTTGACATACGTCAATGGAAACGCTATTTAATTGGGAGGTTAAAGTGGTTAAAACACTTTTATACTCATGTTACAATTAAGACAAGGTAGGATAAGTTAAAGAATTACTATTGCTCTATTCTAGAACCTGCAAGTATCTACTAGTTTTGCCATGGTAGAAAAATACAGGTAGATGCATCAACGCTTGGGAGCATTGATATGTCAAAATTTTTTAAATTTCTTTTCAAATATAAGTAGATTTTTATATGTCTTTTAATACAACGTCATTCGGAGGTTATTATAACATGGCTTTTCTTTCTTTCAACATTTTCAATTCCAAAATTGGTTTGACAGTTTATTGTCCCAGTAGCTGCGTCGATGCGTCTACCTATATTCTTCTACCATGAGTTTTGCCATTTTTTTCGGTAAATCATCAGGCGGCTTTTTTGTAAAAGAACAAAGCAGTGTAGGTTCAAAATCGAACTAAGTAAACCTACAATAGTTTTTTTTTCTTTTACGAAGAAGCCAGCCGAAGACGTAAGGTGAGAGTACATAAAGGGCATTTTTTGACTGGCTTAAGTCAACGGCTGACTTCTCCGTAAAAGAAAAAAGAAATGAGTTGTATGTTGACTTATGCCATGTTTACGTTAGAAGTTTTTGTACGGTTAACCTATTTTGAGGGGATTTATTTGAAGTAAAAGAAATGGATATGACAATTTAAATCCAAATCCAGTGGGTTAACCCTCATATATATAAACGTACTATTAGTTCGATTTTTATCCTACGATCTTTTTTGTTATTTTACGAAGAAGCTAGCCGATGACTTATTCGCCAGTTTTGCCATGGAATTGAAAGGTAGAACTCTTTAGTTTACATTTTTAAAATCCAGTTATTTTATTCATTTTTCCCGCTGTTTAACTGATTTTAAAAATGAGAAACAATATTTAATAAATGGAATCAACTTTTGGCATGCAAATTTGACAGGAAGCGGGCATAGCCACAGTGCTGTATTTCCGTAGTTTTACGAAGCTGTTCTACCTCTTTATTGCGACCTGGCAACAACGCTTGGAAACATTAATATGTTAAAATTTTTAAAGTGTTTTGTCAAAAATAAGTAGATCTTATATGTTTTCTTATACGACGCAAATCGGAGGTTGTAATGATATGTATTTTTCAACAATTTTTACAAATTTCAATATTTTTTCATTCAAGATTTTTATCTCCAAAATCGGTTTGACAGTTCATTGTTCCAGAAGCTGTGTCGATGCAACTACCTTTATTCTTCTACGATTTCAGCAAAGGAGTTTTAGGTTGCCTTAGTTCGATTTTGGCTCTACGCTCCGTTGTTCTTTTCCGAAAAAGCCAGCTGATGACTTAAGCCAGTCGAAAAAGCGTTTGGATATCACTTGCTTGCGAAAATGAAAAGAAAGCAATTGCTACAAAATGCTACTGGATATTCTGTTTTTAGGGGATATGCATGGCAGAATTAAGAAGGTAGAGTCGTGGAATCATATGTTTACAATTTTTTCAAAATTATTCATATGACAACAACTCATTGTCAAAATTAATATTTATAAATCCATTGAATAGACACAAACCAGAGATGGGAACCTGTTTTCTATGCGAATTAATTTGACAAGGTAAATTACAAAAAATGCAGAGCTGGGAATGTTTTTATGACTTTACCTTCTTAACTTTACCATGGGGATATGGTAGAGGTTTTATACAACAATTACGTACGTTTACAACCCATTCTCACATGGAACAAAGTTCACATGCAACCCATCTCTGCTGCCATTGTTGGAGTTCACACAAACAAACAAATCAGCCAATGAACCCCAGATGATGGGGTTATGAACTATTTACCTTCTACTGTTTTGTTGGCAACGAAACGAAGTACTTCAAATTGGTTTCGGCACGAATTTCTGCTGGCAATCGTCAGTGTAATGACACTATTGAGGTAAACAAAAACAACAACACCACTAATATTTTTTAGTCATTTTGCCGATGGCGGGTAGAGATATTTTTCAAAGTGATAGTAAAATTTGAGGAATAACCAAGCATTTGCTGTTACCAGGAGACCTCCACCTTCACACACACTCATTCTCATACCATCAACACAGTGAGGGAGTAATTATGTATGTGTATTTGTGTGGGTGCAATGAAGTTGTTTATAGACAGGATATGTACGTATACAGTTATGAGTTACGTTGTGCAGGAGGTATTGGGTAAACAAACAAATCCCAAGCTCATAAGTTGCAAAAATTTCATTCACAAAAACAGTTGGAGCGTGGCACGTGAAGTCGTAGAACGTGACTATTCCTGGCGTTAGACAAAAAAAGAACAGCCCAAGTTGCGGCAAATAAAAAAATATACAATAAATTGGCAATTAGAAATGTATTGATTATCAAAAAGGATTAGAGAAATCAATAGGGGTTTGCCTAAAATAACAACATTAGTGGAAAAAAGGGGTCCTACTGAATTTTGAATTTAAATGAACCTCAAACCTAACTACCTTCTAAACGTTCTACGAGAAGAGCAAATCAACATATTCGACTCATAAAAATATCAATTGATTTGCAATTAAGAAGTTCTCATTGCTGTCGGTACCAATTAGTGATTGTGTTAAAATAAAATGTCTTTATCCCTGACAAATCGTCGTCACGATAAGGCGCCAATGCCTTCGTCTTCATTCAGAAGCAATCAGTGGAGTGGTTCACAGCAACATTTATCACAGGATTATCATCAGTTACAGTTGGTACATCAAACGACGGTGCGGAAACAAAGATCTTTTATCGAAACTCCCACCACCAGCCGGCCACATTTAACGCGGGGTCTTTCAGTGGGCAGATCATCAAAGGATATTCACTACTTACAGAATCGCAACGCCTTGAGGAAACATTCGACATTTGTTGGTGCTAAGGGGACATCGTCAACGAAACTGTTCCATGCCGATGATTTAATCAAGAAAAATATTAATGCTTGCAGTCAATTAGAGAGACCACCTACACGAAGTGTCCAGGCATGGTCATCAACATCGTCGATATTAAAGTCATTGGATAAGGAATTGGCACAATTAAATGGTGTTCTCGTCAAATCAAAGGATGTTCGGAATAGTATAACAAAGAGTGGGGTTGTAGATAAAGCGAGGCATCAAATTGCAAATAAGAGGTAAGTTGGGGAGGACTAAATAGATAGTTTGAGAAATGTTGGGAATTTTTAAAAATCATTTGTGACATTTATTGGACTTTATTTGTATTTAAGATGACACAAGGTAGTTTAATTCCAATAAAACTAGAAAAAATGCAACTCTTTATAAGAAACTTATAGCATGTTTGCATCATAACTTTTTGTCGGGTAACAGTACGTTTACATGTGTAGAAATGGTTTAACCCACTGGATTTGGATTATCATTGTCGTACTCATTTCGTTTACCAAGATAGAAGAATACAGGTAGTCGCATCTACACAGTTGCTGGGACAATGAACTGTCAAACCGAAATTTGAATTGTTGAATAATAAAGGTAACCTCATTTCAAATAAAGGTAACCTCACATCAAATTATGATTCCCAGCTTTGTATTTTCTGTAATTTACCTTGTCGAATTTCAACGTATAAAAAACAGTTCCCATAAATTTGAATAAAATTGTAAACATATGATTATATGACAGTTCCTTTTCTGCTCTACCATGGATTAACCCCACAGAATATTGTAACATAAACATGCTATAAACTTCTTTAGGAGGATTTATTTGACATACATACAACTGGCAATTTAATGAATCCGATAAACTGTAAAAGTTTTATTATTGTGTCAAATCATGGTAAAAGAATACAGGTAGATGCATCAACGCTTGGGAACATTTATATGTCAAGAAATTCTAAATGTTTTTCAAATATAAGTAGATTTGTATATGTTTCCTTATACGACGTCATTCGGAGGTTATTATAATTAGTGTTTTCAGCAATTTTTACAAATTTAAATAATTTTTCATTCAAAAATTTCCATTCCAAAATTGGTTTGACAGTTCATTGTCCCAGCAGCTGTGTCGATGCGTCTACCTATATTCTTCTACCATGTGCCAAATAGACTCTTATAGCGCACAATTTTACCCGCATTAATTCCAAATTATCAGGATTTATTGCTTAATCCGAATTTATTCTAATATATTTACCACACAAAAATAGATCTTCTCATTATGGATAGTCTTATTTGATGGGTAGTTTTATTTTAAATGAATTTTCTGCATAAAAAGGCTCCCCTCTCTGATTTATGACTTTAGAATGGATTTATTAATATACATTTTGACAATAATTTTGAAAAAATTATGAACATATGATTGCTTGACCTTACCTTCTTAATTCTACCGTGGAAAAACTATTGAATATCGAAGCGGAATCTACATACATACGAATGCATGGCATTGCATATTTATTGACATATAATAAAGGAATGTTAGAGACCTAATCGAATCCTTCCGTCGTTTTCCTTTATAATTTGACATTAATATACCAAGCTACAATGCCGGGATGCTTATGTATTATCGCTTTTAAGGCTAAAGAAAATCAAAGCTTAAATCTTGACTTCGGCGTGATAATACAACACTTGTATCTTATAACAGCGTTGTATTTTTACGTTTAGAGCAGCCAAATATGCCAAACAGTGTTGTATTCTCACGCAAATGACACGATTAATGCTTTTATCTGTTTTAGACCTTAAGCTGCAAGTGCAGTCGTCTCTCAACTCTCGTTGACTTTAGACTACGTGCGCGCCGTTTCGCTTTTCTTTTTTATGCGTTTTGTTTGTTTTGCTTTGAACACCAATACACACACAAATACACACATTCCTTCCATCTAACCAATAACACAAACATTATTTTATTTGGTGATTTTGCTGAAATTTAATATTCCTAATTTCAACAAAATATACAATTTTCTGCGAAAATGGGTGATGAGGAGCCGCCTCCTCGTTTAGACCCGAGGAAAAGAATTGAGCTTTTTAGCAACCCTGGAAGCAAGAAGTTTAAAAATAATCAGCCTTCTATGCAAAATAAAATGCCGCAGTGCTCTGCAAAAACAACACCAGCAAAAGAAAACACCACTCTCACACCATATGAAAATCAATATTTTAATGATACAAAGTCCATCTCCACCAACACAACTAACAACTGTCACTCCAACAATAACAATCCCTCCAATCCATCCAATATACCCAAAAACACAAACAAAACAGATATTTACAGCTATGATAACTATGAAAACCAAACAATTCTTTACAGCCCAGCCCATCCAGGTCCATATTATGTACTTCTTACTTCTGATGAGCCCATTTGCCCTAGAAGAAAGAACTCAGAATTACATTTGTATGCCAAATTAGCCAGTGCCAACATAAATGCTCATTTTGTATCAAAGAATATTGCATATAAAACCTTCCGCCTGAGCTTCAACAATTATAACTCGGCAAATAATTTTGTTTTGGATCCAAATGTAAAATCTATTGGTTTGAATGCTTTTATCCCAGATAGATTGTACAAAAATTTTATGTTATTAAATCCGTACCAGTAGAATTCACTGGCAAAATGATATATGATCAAATCAACAGCAGCGACAATGATTTCAAAGCTGTATCAGTATATCGTTTCAAATACAAAAATGAAAATGGTCAGTATGTGCCGTCGCAAACCATTAAAGTAGGTATTGTAGCGGACTACGTTGTAAAAGAACTTAAAATGTTCAACTCTATAGTGGAGACGGATTTATATATTCCACTTGTACGCTTATGTAAAAATTGCGGTCGTTTAGGTCATATAGCCGTAAAATGTAGAGCCAAAAAAAGATGCCTTCTTTGCGGGATAAACATTGAATGTCCCACAAACTGCACAGAGCCAAAATGTGATACATGTTTGTCGACAATTAAATGCAAAACATACTGTATTCTACCCAGATGTATACTATGCAACATGGAAGATCACAATGCCATGGATGTCAAAAAATGCAAAAGATACAGCAATGAAAAAAATATTCTGGAGGCTATGGCAATCACCAACCTTTCAAGGAAAGAATGTATCCCTAAAGTTTCAAACAATTACTTTGAAATTTTAGATGAACCAAATTATGAAAATCAATTTCCCCAAATTTCTAAAACAAGCAGAAGACCAGTTACTTCCTTCAATGATGAACTCAACAGAAGGAGAACTAAAGTCAATTACAATAAAGTAGCAGCATCAATACCTCGTAGAACACATATTACAGCTGAACAGGAAACGATTGTACCCTCTAAACCATCCTTTGAATTCTCAAATTTTTTCAAAGTTTCTGAGTATGAAAAAATATTATCCACTTTCACTCAACAAATGGCTGCCGCATTAACCAATGCCAAGTGTACAGAAGGATTACAGATCTTAGACAGTTTTTCAAATGCCTTAAAAGCACCAGCAATAGATGGACCTTCCAGTTCTAACCAAACCGAACATGATAATCTTACAGCACAACATACAAAGTTTGAATAAAAATAAAAATTATTTAGAACTTTACTTAAACAAATTTTCTGTCGATATATGCATCTTAAGCGAAATTTTTAATGTAGATGAAAATGCATCATCATCTTACGTAAACAATTATGGATTATTCTGTAAAAAAAGAATCGACAATTATGGTGGCGTTGCCATCCTGCACAAAAAACTATTAAAATGAAAAAATTACCTTTTGCATCGGATTTAGACATCTTAATATGTCAAACTACAAACCTGTCTCAAAATTTAACGATTGTCTCAGTATACTTTCCGCATTCTGTAAAATCCAATGTTTTAAAAACTGAAGTATCAAAACTTTTAATCTTTCTAAATGGAAAATCAAATGTCATTATTGGCGGGGATTTAATGCAAGATGTAAAGCATATGGTGACGTTTTGACACAGTTCGAGGATCCACTGTGCAAACCTTGATGGACAGTTCGGCATTTCGTTGTGTTAATGATGGCTCAGCAACCTTTAAAAAGAATCTATTTGACAGTTCTTTCGGTTCTGTGTTAGATCTTACCTTCACAAATATGTCTTCAAACTTTAATTGGAATGTAAAAAATACAAGCATAGGAGGAAGCCACCACAGACCAATCCTTATTAACATAGATAATTTCACATCAAAGCAACAGTACTTCCTAGCAAAAAAACATCTCTTCAAAAACTTATCAAATCTAAAAATTGATTCCAATATGAATGATATTCAATCGAAGCTAAAATCAACAATAAAAAATTCAACTTTTCTCATTACTGCTGAAACAAAATTTCAAACATGGTGGAATAATGACATTACCATACTCTTACGTCAAAAAGAGGCCGCAGAACAGAAATTTGATAGATACAAAACCACTGAAAATGCCCTGAGTGCAATCAACGCTATATCTAAATTCAAAAAAGCCGTAAAATGTGCCAAAAATCGCGACAAACGTCGTAAACTGTCAGATTTAAGCCAATTATCTAATTCAAAATCGCTTTTCCGTTATGTAAAGAGCTGTAAATCGGTTTTCGAACCCCAATCTGCTTCTAAATGGAACACTGACAACAACGAAGCCTTCTTACGTCATTTGAGTGAACAGGTTCCCAACAACAGACAAACTATATCCATTTCAATTTATAACAATCAATCTGCAAATTTCTCCATGGAAGAACTAGACAATGTTCTACAGCAAAAACTAAACCATCTGCAGCTGGTCTGGATGGAATCACTTATGAAATGGTTAATAAACTATCCCAAGATAGTAAGCAGCACCTTTTGAATTCCTTTAATAATCAATGGAAAAACTGTGAGTTTTTTGAAGAATGGAGGAGAATAAAAATTGTTCCCATACCGAAAAAAGGAAAAAATTTAGACATCTGCACAAATTTTCGGCCAATTGCTTTAATATCTGTACTGGCAAAGATTTTAAACCTCATGGTCAAACAAAGGCTCAATGATTTTCTAGATGAACATAAAACTCTTCCACCTAGATCTTATGCATACCGCAAACATGTGTCAACTTCAACATGCATTAATGACATACTACACACAATAAACACCTCCAAAGAAAAAAATGACAAGGTGATTGTTCTCTCGATGGATGTATCGAAAGCCTATGAGTGTGTCGATATAAATTACCTGAAGAGGATTTTAATAGAAATAAACATTCCACTCCAAATAAGATTATGGATAATCAATTTTCTCTGCAAAAGGACTCTTTGTATGGGAAACTCCACCCTAAATATATACAATGGGATCCCTCAAGGCAGTTGTTTAAGCCCAACACTATTCAACCTATACACAATAGGCCTCCATGGTTTAGCTGATGAAAACACAAACATTTTCCAATATGCGGATGATTTTATTTTGCTTGTGGCAAGCCATGACTTTGATAGTGCCAACAATATTTTACAAATCAAAACCAATAACATGGTATCCTTATTAAAAAACTAAACCTTGACGTCAATGTTGAGAAAACTTCAGTAATGTACGTGGCTAAAGGAGGTCGGAGAAATCCCAACATTTTACTAAATGGAGTCCAAGTAAATGTTGTTAAGTCCATCAAATTTTTAGGGAGACATATTAAAAACAGTCTATCACTCAAGGAGCACTACGAAGAGGTGATGATATCCTGCAGAAATACTGTTAATGCTTTAAAAATGGTCACGGGTCCAAAAAGTGGAATTCATCCCGCAAAAGCTATAAACCTGTCAAAATCACTTATCTTTTCAAAGACCGAATATGCAATCTCATCGATGGCTCACAGACCAATGTATATAAACAAGAAGCTAACAAGCTTTCAAAATCAGTTGTTAAGAAAAAATTTGGGACTGGTGCCTTCCACTCCAAATCATGTGGTATACGCTCTTGCTGGTATGCTACCAACAGATTTAAGAGCTCAACACTTGGCGGCTAAAGAATTGATAAGACTTAAAATATACAACTCTTCTCTGTATGAATACTTCACCTCAAATACCTCAAGAAAAACTAGTCTTGGATATGTCTATACAAAGTTTCGCACAATTTTTGAAAATCTCAAAATTGGTTACAATCAACATCCGACCAACAAGGTAGATTTCATGCTGGATATATTTAATACTACCAAAAACAATACACCAACAGAATATTTCAAAGCACACTACTACGAATTAATTAACGACTTCAGATCCGAAGGCGTTTCTATTTGGGCGACGGATGCTGCTGTTTTTAACAACAACACAGGCTGCGCTGTCTGCAATATATCTGCTAATCAAAATTTTGTTTTCAAAATTAATGAAAAACTTTCTTCTCTTACTGGTGAACTATGTGCAATTGAAAAGGCAATTGATTTGATGATCGAAGACGGTGTCAGCACAGCTGCTTTATTTACAGACAGCAAAAATGCTTGTCTTCTGCTTAAAACAACACATCTCACAATTTCACTGTGTACAATATTCTAAACAAAATAGTTAATTCGCATTTAATTAAAATCTCGTTTGTTTGGACACCTTCCCATGTCGGTATACCAATCAATGAAACAGCCGATTATTTTGCGAAGCATGCAGCAAATGTTGGTTCACCAATCAACTTCTGTCTGTCGGTCACAGATGCGTCGAAACGCATTGAGTCACTCCTGTGGAATGAGTTTATAGAAAATTACAAGGACATCTCACGGACTAAAGGAACTTACTTCTACCAATTCTTCCCGGCGCCTGCTAAACAGCCCTGGTTCTTTTCATCAAACATGAAACCTGAAAACATAAAGATTGTTAATCGATTGCTCACTGGTCATACTTACACCAAAAAATATTTCCACAGGATTGGAATTGCTGACTCAAATCTTTGTGAAACCTGCAACGAAATTGAAGATGAAAAACACATAATTTTTTTCTGCAAAAAGCATCAAAATCATAGGAATGATTTTGATTTGTTCAAGAAATTTAATAACTTACCGGAAATCCTGATGTCCAAAAACCAACAAAATATAGATGAATTAATCAACTTTATTGCACTTTGCAAAATTGAAGTTTGACTTTTATTTGTAAATAATCATCATATTTGCTGACAGTTCTTTATTTTTTCCTTTAGTTTTGATTTTTTTTTGTTTTGATTTCTTATGTATTTCATTCATATCACTACATTCTGTAAACACACATATACTGTAAACAAAAAGAAAACGAAAATAAAAGAGTACTGATACTTTTCAAGTAACCAATAACCGGTCATGGTGAATGGGCACGAAAGTGTTCTAACCACCAACATACTTGACGACGTAGAAGTACAAAAAAAAAAAAAAAAAATAAGCTGCAAGTGCATAAGAAGCTTGAAGTCATGACTAGGCATATTTTGTAACATTCCATAAAGGGAGTACAGAGTCGCACTAAAATCCTGCCGTCGTTATCCATTATAATTTGACATTAATATGCCTAGCCTTGACTTCAAGCCTTTTATGTACTTGCACCCTTAGGGTGCCCAAGTTTAATTTATGTGCCGAAATTGAACTAAAGGCGAGAATACATAAAACGCTTCTTTGACTGGCTTAAGTCATCGGCTGGCTTCTTCAAAAAAGAAAAGGGTGTATGGTCAAAATCGAACAAAGTTAACCTACAACTCCTTTATTCCTTTACCAAAAAGCTGTCAACCTGAAACACCTTCGTTCTTTAACGAAGAAGCCAGCCGATGACTTAAGCCATTCAAAAAATCGTTTTATGTATTCTCAACTTAGTCAACCTACACTTCTTTGCATTTTAGAAAAAAAAAAAAAAACATCCAATGACTTATGTCGCCGATGTATTCCTTATATTAAAGTGGAAAGACATTAAGGTGGAAATACATAGAACAAATTTTTTACTGGTTTCAAGGTGAGAATTCATACAACGCTTTTTCGACTGGTTTAAATAATAGGCATGGTAAAATTAAGAAGGTAAAGTCATTTCAAATAAGTATTCCCATCTCTGCATTTTCTGTAGTTTAATAATAATTTACCTTGTCAAATTATAAAGCATAGAAAAAAGGTTCCCATCTCTGATTTGTGTGTATACATTGGATTTATAAATACAAATTTTGACAATGAGATGTTGTCAAATGAATAATTTAGAAAAAAAATGTAAACATATGATTGCATGACTTTACCTTCTTAATTCTACCATGGTAATCAGCTAGGTTCTTCGTAAAAGAACAAAGCAGTTTTAGGTTGTCTTAGTTCAATTTCGGCGCATAATTTATACTTGCTCACCCTACGCTCCATTGCTTTTTTACAAGGAAGCCAGCTGTTGACCTAAATCAGTCGTCACCTCAAAACGCTTTTTTGACTGGCCATTGTATTAGGTCATAAGGTAAAACCATACAAAACGCTTTTTTTGACTGGCTTAAGTCATCGGCTGGCTTCTTCGTAAAAGAACAAAGGTGGTTTAGGTTGACTTAATTCAATTTTGGAAGATAATTTATATTTGTTCACCCTACGCTCCCTTATTCTTTTACGAAGAAGCCAGCCGATGACTTAAGCCAATAAAAAAAGCTTCTTAAGGTGAAAATACATAAATGGCCTTATTGACGGGCTTAAGTCATCGATAGGCTTCTTCGTAGAGGAACAAAGGAGTTTTAAGTTGCCTTAGTTCGACTTTAGCCATACGCTCGTTTGTTCTTTACCGAAGAAGCCAGCCGTTGACTTAAGGCTGGAAATACATAAAGCGCATATTTGGCTGGCTTCAGTCATCGGGTGGCTTCTTCGTAGATGAACAAAGGAGTTTTAGGTTGACTTAGTTCGATTTTGGCCCTAGTCTCGATTTTGGCCCTAGCCGATGACTTAAACCAGCCAAATAAGCGCTTTATGTATTCCCAGCTTAAGTCATCGGCTGGCTTCTTGGGAAATGAACAAAGGAGCCTAGGCCCAAAATCGAACTATGTCAACCTAAAACTCCTTTGTTCATCTACGAAGAAGCCAGCCGATGACTTAAGCCAGCCAAATATGCGCTTTATGTATTTTCACCCTAACCATAACTTCTCTGCTCTCATGACGAACATATATAATCCATCCAGCTCATAATTTTATCTATTTATGCGTTTCCTAATACAAACATGTAGCCATATAAATATGTACAAATATAAATTTTTATTCGACCTACTATTCAATTAATTGTTGTTATTGTTTGTCATATTTATGTCAGGGATTGTTTTGCACACCAAACGTTTGCTGAAATGAGATGAAACAAAAAAAATACAAATTGTCATTTGCCAAAACTAAAACTTATTTTACCCGTCTAAACCAATCAATATGACATGGTTTCATTTCATTCGTCACCATGTAGCGCCAACATTATATATCGATATACTTTTGATATCATATTTCCATTTGCCAATGGAGGAGGACAACTAGGCCTCCTTCCAAATACCGACTCCTTCCGTAGCACCGCTAGGTATTTTTTTATTCGAATTGATTTCCATTCATTACCGAATGGTGAATGGCGGCGGCTTTTCGTTTTGTGATTACATGCCACGCAAACCTCTTCAAAGAGAGGGAGAGAGACACAGACACAGTAAGTCGAGAGGGCTAGGCTACACGTTTGCAAATACTATGCACACACAAGTACTTTTATTGGCTTATTTGCATTTGCCAGACTGATGAGGACTATGACATGACACAATAAAATGACATGTGATACTGCAATGAGGATGACAAACTAAGTTCTCAGCATAGGCCAGTAATTGGATCACAATTTTTAAAGAAGTTCAATTTCGTTTTAGCGCCAACAAACACAAGACCGAAACTGGACTGCCCGCAAACGTAAAAGCGACGACTTCAAGTAACAGGCTAATTAAATCCGCTACTACGACATCCATTGCGACGGTGCCATCCAAGACGTGCGAATCCAACAAAGTAAATCTAAGCATTGTCCTGTCACACGCCTTGAATGAAAGCAAGGAGAATGATTACATCTTGTGTGATCCTGGAGAAGGTGAAGACAGTGAAGATTTGTCAATAGAAAGTGAACATTTGGAGGTTACTTAAATGCTCGTCCGTCAATTTTATGAAATAACCATTGTACATTCTTTCTCTTAGGATTCCAATAAATCTGAAGTGAATTTATCAAAGGATAGAGAATCCGTCAACCTTTCGGCCCCGCAGCGAAGAGCTCTCTACCAATCCAGTAAATTTAACGATCAAATAAATTTGTCAAACGCCTGCCAGACACCTCCACAACCCCAACTGCAAAACTTATCGCCAGCTTTAATTGTACAGAAACGACCACCCCTGGTACGTGCTATGTCGGCGCCAGTTCGTAGCATCGATGACAATTCCAAAGGTTCATTCTTGGCAAATAACAAACGCAAATCAAGGCGTCGCAAATTAAATGCCCGTACCATTACATGTGATCGAGATTCGTCATCGCCCTCATCGACAACGAGGTCGACCCACCTGACAAATGTGAATAATTTAAATTTTGATTCAAAATCGACCAACAAGAAAATTTTACAACGTTCAAGATCTGTGGCACCCGATGTTATAACATTGGTATCCCTCATAAGTTCAGAGGGTTCTGATTCGGAAAAGGAGGATTGTTGTTCGTCAACACCCAGCAATTCCGATTCGAGCAGTCCAACGAGGAGAGCACCTTCTCTCCGGAAGGCAGGGAAATCTGGTAAGTATTACAACGAGACATGAGTCCAAAAATAGCTGTCTAGGAAAAAAGGGTTAATATGACTTCTTCCCATACTCCTCCATACTTTTGAGTATGAGTCAAATCTACTTAATTTGACGTATATGCAATACTATTAACAGCCTAAATCCATTGGTACTCCTATGTGTAAACATAATTATAAAATAATGACAGTAGTGTAGAGTGAACAAGTACAGATAATGGGCAAATATTGATTTAAGCCAACCTAAAGTTTTCGGTTGACTCAGTTCAATTTCGGCTCATAAGATTTACCGACCGGAACGATGTTGTCAACTTTCAATTCATTTAAAGCCGAACAATATATTTAATTGTAAGAATACATAAAGTACTCTTTTGACTGGCTTTAAGGCGAGAATACATAAAACTCTTATGTCATCGGCTAGCTTCTTCGTAGAGGAACAAAGGAGTTTTAGGTTGAATTATCGGCTGGCTTCTTCGTAGATGGACAAAGGAGTTTTAGGCTGACTTAGTTCGATTTTGGCCATAGGCTCCTTTGTTCATTTCCGAAGAAGCTAGCCGGTGACTTAAGCCAGCCAAATAAGCGCTTTATGTATTCCCATCTTTAGCCATCGGCTGGATTCTTCGTAGAGGAACAAAGGTGTTTCAGGTTGTCTTAGCTCGATTTTGGCCCTACGTCCCTTTGTTCCAACCGATGACCTAAAGGTGAGAATACATAAAACGGTTTTCTGACAGGCATAAGTCATCGGCTGGCTTCTAGTTCTTAGACTTAGTTCGATTTTGGCCCTACGCTTCTTTGTTATTGTCCAAAGAAGCCAGGATATGACTTAAGCCAGTCAAAAAAGCGTTTTATATATTCTCACCATTAAGTCAGTCAAAAAACGTTTTATGTATTTGCACCTTAAGCCGGTCAAGGGGCGCGTATTCTCACTTTTTCTTATTTGTAGTCCCGAATATGAAAACCCTTTTCCAACGAACTCGAACTTGTAATTTTCCAATTTAAAGTATGATAGCAAAACAAGAGTTTTAGGTTGACTTAGTTCGATTTTGGCCCATTTCGAAGAAGTCAGCCGATGACTTATCAGTACGTTTACATATAAATGGGTTAACCCAATGGATTAAAATTGTCATATCCATTACTTTGACTCATGGCAGAAGAATCCAGGTAGTCGAATAAACACAGCTGCCGGCACAGTGAAATGACAAACCAATTTTGAAATTGAAAATCTTGAATGAAAAATTATTCTAAGTTCGATATAATTCCATTTATCTAAAAAAAGAAAAAATTCTAACCTTAAAGCTTTGATACTTATATGTTAATGTGCTCTCCTCTTCTGCCCTACACTTATTCGAAGGATTACTTCTCTTTTCAGTCTCATTCCAGGAAAACTACCCACCAACATTTCAATTCGCTTCCAAGGAATATTCACATATGCTGCGTCGAGGTTCTATAGCACCTCTGGCAGCACGGATCAAAGCAAATCGTCCTCCAACAGCACCGCCTGGATCGATTTTTCACACAAACAACAACAGCAGCAATTCCAACAGTGCAACGAATACAAAAAATATGAATGTCGAAAACGATGAAAATGATACACCACCTGATGAAAACCAAATTAATGCCAACAACAATGTTACAACAACTACGCCCGCAACAGCTAACCTCAAAAAATCGCTTGAAGAGGAATCATCCTATCAGTATCCCGATTATGTTCGCAGTATTAAAGAACGCGAATGTTGGAAACTTTTTCAGAAGATGTCAGCAAAGGGGGTTAACATCACGTACGATACAATCTTGCGCGGTATGTTGACACCAACTGAATTTCGCCAGCTACAAAAACAACGAGAAATGGAGGAGGCAAAAGCACAACTTCGTGAAAATGAAGAGATGGCAGCCATAAATGAAGAACAGCAGCAACAATTGAAAAATAATCGCAAAAATTCTCCACTTGAAAGAATTGCCGAAAATTTACCAAAGAACTGAAAATGTAGTTTAAGCGGAATGCCTAATATTAGTGGGTTTACATTATTGCACTTTATTGTGATTTATTTGGTGTATGTTGAAAGAAAAAATCGTACAACACGATAAAGAGCGATGATGTACGATGATACGGCTTTAAGGTTTATTTGAAGCCATGGTAAAAGAATATAGATAGACGCATCGACACAGCTGCTGGGACAATGAACTGTCAAACCAATTTTGAGATTGAAAATGTTGAATGAAAAATTATTTAAATTTTTAAAAATAGTTGAAAACGTGTATTATAATAACCTCCGAATGACGTCGTGTAGGAAAACATATTAAAATCTACTTATATTTGAAAATACATTTAAAATTGTTTGACATATCAATGTTTCCAAGCGTTGATGCATCTACTTGTATGCTTTTACCATGTTTGAAGCACTGCCAATGTTTCCTGAAAAAAATACACCGCAATGGCACAACGCTGAGCGTTGATTTGCTTGTAGTGAAAACTTAAATTTTTGGTGTAGCGTAGCAATGATTTAAACGTCAATTCTGTTCTGGTAGAAATAATATTTGTAGTTCGTAGAAGCACTTGTTTAAACACAATAACACTTCTTAGTGATCTACAGGTGAAGACACATAAGTCGCATGACACGGTTTACGCCATTGCATGACAGCATTTGCGGCGAAAAAAAAACAAAGCGAAGGAGCTGCATTTGAATTAGGTTTTACTTGCTCTGAATTCTTTTACTAGAAATTTTGTCATGCGATGATGGAAAGCATACTCAATTAGATCTATCTCAAAAATATATTGTCCACAATGAACTCCCGTGAATTAATTTTTTTTAATTAGGAGTCATATAGTACGTTTACACTTACTTAATCCAATGAATGTTTGAACTGTCAATCCCATTGTGTATACGTCAAATGAAATTGATTCCCAAATCCAGTGAATTTCATTTGACGACTATGCAATGGATTTGACAGTTGAAATTCACTGGATTGATTATGTGTGTACGGCGTTATAATCTCAAACTAGTTCCTGTCAATTTACACCACATCACACATCCTAGTAACATATGAATTTTCATGATAGTATCTGAAAATAAAATTTTCAGTTGTAGACAATTGTTATCTTGGTATAAGAAACTCTGAAAAACAAAACACTCGCTTTATTTACTAAGAAAAAATACTGTATTGTATTTTTGTTACAAATAAAATATTCAATAGCCAATGATAATTCGTGTGTTTAATCATGGTACAATAATAAAAGGGGTAGTTTATAGTCATACCTTGCCAAATTTATATTATTGAAAACTGGTTTCCATATCTAATATGTGTATATGCAATCGATTTAAAATTTATAATTTTAAAAAAAATTTATAATTTTTGACTGGTTTAAAGGAGAGAATACATAAAACGCTTCTCTGACTGGCTTAAGTTATCGGCTGGCTTCTTCGGAAAAAACATAGGGCCAAAATCGAACTAAATCAACCTAAAAATCCTTTGTTCCTCTACAAAGAAGCAAGTCAAAAAAGCTTTTTATGTATATTCACCTTAAATCACGGCTAGTTTCTTCCAAAAAGAGCAAATGAGCTTTAGATTCACTTAGTTTAATTTTGGCCCATAATTTACTCTTGTTAACCCTACGCTCCTTTGTTCTTTTCCGAAGAAGAAAGCTGATGTCTTAAGCCAGTCAAAAAGCCTTATATGTACTCTCAATTTAATATTCACCCTTCTTACGGCGAACATTGTATCAGAGGAAGGGACTAAACAAAATGTGAACACCCCTAATTCATTTTACAAGAGTTACAGGGCGACGTTATCGCTGTCGTCAACCTGTTGTTATATCAATAACAAGTAAACCATTGCCGTTGGCTTTTAGGGAACGTAAATGGGCAAGGGGCAAATGTTCTATATTTGTGGCCGGCTTTCTTAAATAAAATAAATAGCAATAATAAAATAAATCCTAGAAATGTTATTCTGAAGACAAGTGGTGAATTTATTTTGCGAAAAGTGTGAACCATAGTGTTGAGGTGAATGCCGTCACCCTGTTGTTATGGTACGTTGTATCGATAACAAGTAAGTCATTGCCGTTGGCTTGTAGAGAACATGAATGGGCAAGAGCAGCATATTTAAAAATGTCTTTCTTTAAATAATTCGTGAAAATGTGACAGTTTCAAGACAATTTGTGAATTTATTTTGTAAAAAGTGTTAACCAAGTGGAAAATAAAGGCCTTGACCTGCAATAATGGCTGGATGTGAAACCGTAAGTCAGGTGAGTTATGTATATTGTAATAACAGAAGTTTTAAAGCATAATATATGACGGCTTACATGTAGTATACTAAAAAACGCGCCGATTATCTGAAATATTTTCCCGGTATTTGCCCTGGGTGACGGAACTGGGTACCCGTATACATTACCCAGAGGTCCTTCCATTCCGAGTGAAAAGCTTATGAATATCCAACTATCCAACAAGTGATCATATTTTAACTGATTCCGAAGATATAGTAAATAACTCGTTTTTTTTTATAAAAGCCCATAAAGTCGGAAAAGGACCCTAATCAGGAATCACAATAATGTGTAAAATTGTAGCCGCCACTCTAACATATCCAATGTCATGCTATATGAATCCACTGAATTCACTGAAATGAGTTTATTTTTATACCCTCCACATTGAAAAGGAGGGTATATTAACTTTGTCATTCTCTTAATATTCGTCGTAGACCCCATAAAGCATATATATTCATGATCATCTTAAAATTCTAAGTCGATTAAAAGATGTCCGTCTGCTTGCCTGTCTGTTGAAATCACGATACAGCCCACATAATTTAACGTAGAGGTTCAAAATTTGGCCGAAGAAATTGTTTTGTGTCTAGGATTGTTGGTATTGAAAATGAAATGTATCGGTCCACGTTTTGGTACTGCCACCATATAACGGTACCTTCCAATATTCGGTATTTTGATGACTTTTGCCTGATTTTTCCACGAATTTATCTTAAAATTGGTATTTGAAGTTTTTAATGAGTTCTAGTTCCGGTGGCGGAACATAGAACGTATAAGTCCACGTTTTCTTATAGCGCACACATAATTACCCACGTAATTTTTTCAGAATTTCGTATTTAAGAAGATTTGGTAGGTGACAATCCTTGAAGCATAAAATTGTCTATATAAGCTCCCGTTTTACTGGAGTTTGTAGTTTAAAGTGGAACTCGTTTGAATCCAGATACTTTAAAAAAATGTTTTTTTTTTACCTAATGGTAGTGGGTATGAAAAGTTCGGCCCGGCTGAACATAATGTCTTTTACTTGTTTTGGTCCTTTTTTATATATTCCACCATAGTATGGAGGGTATATTAAGTTTGTCATTCCTCTTGTAACACCTCGAAAAATACATTTTAGACCCACAAAGTATATATATATATTCTTGGTTAGCATAAAATTCTATGTCGATTTAACGACGACTGTCCGTTTATCCGTTTGTCCATCTGTGGAAATCACTCAAGCTTCCGAACAAATTAAGGTAGGTTCATAAAATTTTACTCAAAGATAAAGGTCCACGTTTAGTTAAAGCCCCCATATAACTATGTCTCGCTATATTCGGTATTTTGGAATCGTTTCAAATTTCGTATTTGAAGTTCCTACAATCTCTGACAGAAAATTGTCTATGCAGGTCCGGGTCATCGTAGAGCCCCATACATCGGTACCTCCATATATTCGGTATTTCGATGATTTTAGATACATTATTCATCGGAATTGTTTTAAATTTCGAATTTGAAGTTCCTAGTAGGAACTTCGGTCTATGACAGAAAATTGTCTATGCAGTCCTGGTATACGAATACCATATAACGGTACCTCCCTATATTCGGTATTTTGATTATTTTAGATAAATATTCACCGGAATTGGTTCAAATTTCCTATTTGCACTTTGCACACATCTCCGTATAGGCTACAAACTAACGGTAACTCTCTGTAATCGGTATTTTTAATATTCTTAACAATTTTTTTCTATTTTCATTTTTTTTTTCAATTTCAATATCCATTCAAAGTTTGGCCCATCCGAACTTACAGCTTTTTAACTTGTCTTACTACAAAATTGTCCTGAACTCTGTAAAGGAGTGCATGCATTTTATAGCTGAAAAAAGTATATGTTTAAAATACAGTTTATTTTTTTGTACTTTTTATTTTGTTATCATTGTAATACAAACTAATGGTTTATATTAGAATATTAAATTTAATTAATTTTGTCAAAACTATCGTCCAAATTTACTTCATCTTGATAACGAATTTTCAATATCAATTTTGATATATAAACAAATACTATTAGAACCAACGTGGTAACTTGCATTATGACGAAATGTGATATGGATGAACCAATTTCCAGCCATGAACCTTGATTTTTTACCAAAAATAAGAAATTCAAACCCATAATGTCACAAAGTATCAATAGACAAATAAAAATTTGCCTCTCATAGCGCACGGCGAATGGCGACAGGGCCAATATAATGGACATAATCAATAGCAGAGGAATGATAAGTTTTAATATAACCAAAAACATTATAACAAATGGTGAAAACGTTGTCAAGAAACAACGAATAATGTTTGGGTCGAATGAGCTAATCGAGGCTATGTTGCCGGTACCGAAAAACGAGAAGAATGTATAGAGTAGCATTATAAAAGAATATCTAAAACACTCGGAAATGTGATTAGCAGATTTGTCACCATCTACTGAAGACAGGAGTTCTGTAATTAATAATAAAACAAACACGGCCTCATAGGAGGTACAAAACAGAGAGTATAAAGCCGTTAGAAGAAATATAAGGCGTTCCAAGCGTTGTTTAATTGAAAGTTTTGAGGGCCTGACAAGAACGACTAGAATATATAATAGGAATGCCCATGAAAGGATTTGAGAAACCAGGAGCAAGCCATACTGCTTTGAATGTCGGTAAATGCATAAAACTCCATTGGCTAATGCCAATAAGGCAACAATGCGATCACTTAAGTTTAGTGGGACTTTGACCAAAAATGAACGCAAAATAGTTAAGGCTATACCCAAATACAACAAGATATTGTGAGAATAACCCACAGAGTTTGGTAGAAGAGGGAACACAATGAGGATTAAACTCAATAACAAACCTACAAAGAATTTTAATTTACTTTTAGCCAATGAATTCTTATTTAACTTCTCGTATAAAGTAAACAAAAGAAAACCCAAAGAAATGGCTCTTCTATCAAAGAAGCTATAAACCAAAAGTTCAGAGCAGGCCAATAAGACTAGCAACTGTTTAATACTGAATAGTTTGCCCAGACTTTGGGATTTGGCTGTGACAAAGAAATACCACACCACCGTGGGAAGTAGAAGATATAAACTAATTGTAATGGGCAGTTGTTGTAACAAACAAAAACTCAAAATCAAGAGGCCAATGCCAATTACCAGCAGACGATTTCTATGGGGAACCTGTTTGAAATGCCATTTCGAAGAAGTGTTGGCATCATTACTCAATAACAATTTAAGTAATATTCCTATGAAACCTACAAAGGTCGCCGTGGTGGCGGCCAACAAAGGCCAACGATAATAGCCAAAATAATAGTCAATGCCTCTTAAGGCCGATTTCATTAGTTTATAACTTGCCTCCAATGCCAGTTTGAACTTTTTCTTCTCAACATGGCTTCGAATGGCCAACTTCATGGCTTCGATATCTTCATTGAATTTCGGTAAGAATTCCGTTAGATAGCCCTCGTTGTGTTGTCGAAGTAAAGCTTGATATTGTTCCTCTAATTGATGGGCATTATTTTGGGCAGCCAAAGAATTATATTCTTCGGAAGCATTGATGTAACCCCTGGGTAAAATGCCAAAGTTATTCATTGGTGTTCCGATGCCTAGCAGGGCCGACATTAGAGGAGCTATTTGTGCTTGTTCTAAACGATAGAGAGGCCTTGTTGTTTCCAAGTCCAAGTGATAGGTCTCCTTTGTGGGCGTAGGTTTGGCGTTAAGGCCTGCTCCCCATATAAAGAAAGGAGTTTCCGTTTCAAAAGCTTCACCTGCACCATGGGATCCTGTAAAAAAAAGTACTTTCTACAATTAAATGAACACAAATAATTTTTATTTCCGTTTTACCTGCATTTGTCATGCCATGATCTGATGTCAAAACGTAGGCAGTTTTACCATCCTTGAATGTAGACTCAAATAATTCGTACATTTTCGTTATGCCCTCTTGGGTATACAAAAGATTTTCCAAAAACAATTCCGTGCCAGGTTTGTGGACATGACCAGCAGTGTCTAAACCAAGTAAATGCAAAAAATACACAACCTTTTGTTCCTGGCGCAGTTCTTGGGATTTACGGGCCAAAAACTTTTCCACCTTATCGAATACCCATTGATCCAGTTCATAGGTTTTCTCCTTTCCCGAAAAATCCAATTCATGTGAGTAGGAATCGAAAAATAAACGCTGTTCATCGCTTTTGCTTAGCCTTGAAAAGATATGCAGGACATCATTGGCACCCCAGGCATATGTCTTTTCACTACGATTGAAGACAGTATCAAATTCAATGGGATTTTCTTTCCATCCACGGGTTACAGCCGATGGGTCTTCATAGAGACCTGCAATTAAAGCTATGTGTCCCGGTCTCGATTCCGTGGGTACACGTGTGTGAGAAATACCCACCAAACCATTTTCCACTTGGTGTATTAGTTTCTTAAGGTGGGGTATATGTTTACATTGTTGGTGGAAAAATGACTCAGCTCTCAGGCCATCGGTAACGAAGAGAACCAAACGTTTTGCTGGCGCTTCCAAAGGTAATGAAGGTTGAGGTTTTAGATTTGTTATGACCGGCGAACGAAAGTAGATTACAAATATGGAACCCAGCAAAAGGATGTGTAAAACTACGGCATATATTATCCACATGGTGTTGGTGGCAGCATTACCATTTGTATTCTTTGTTGGCTTCTGCTAGAAAATGAAGTGTTCCAGGATTTGATCGTCTCAAACTGTTCCAAATAAGAGGGAAATTTTCGGATGATACCCAGCAAAATGACCACAAGTCTCCTGTGTTTACGAATTAGACATGATGGACGGCGAGATATCAGCTGAGAAATGTAAGGCGAAAAATGACAACCCAGGGCGAATTAAGTCATAACAGAGTTGTATTTATTTCAAACAAGTACAATGCACAGTGGTGCGAATGATATAATAAAAAATATTTAACTAGCCAACGACAGATTTATCGACAAGTTACCAAGTTATAACACAGATTTTGACCTTTCCAAATGGTCCCACAGGTTGCAGATAGTGTCAAGTCCGAACAACTCTAGTTTAGTAAAAACTAATATTTTTTAGTATTTAATATTTTTTTCTTGGGGGACGAACCCCGTATTTTGACCCGAAAGTCCAGGTTCATGATCCACTTACCCGATATAGATAACGTAGGTATTGTTGAAATGCTTAAAATACCTATCCAACAAGTGGTCAGCGGTTCGGAAGTTATAGTCAAAATATTTTTAAACACAGATTTTTTATATAACCCACAAAAAGTCGAAAAAGGGCCCATTTTGATGCCGGATTCACCTCTACTCTGGAAACATGTCGAAAAAATTTAAGAGTTTTTACTAAAGTAGAGTTAAGCCTTAAGTCCAGTAGATACACTGGGTAGCTGCAACTGATTAAGCAGTCGCGGACAGTCAGCGAGTCTGGTCCTTATTCTGATGGGGAAATTTTTCGGCGCACCTAATATAGCTCAACCTCTGTGCTAGTCGCCACATATAGAGGACCACCTAACGCAGGGGTTTTATGCGACGTGCCCATGAGTGTTGCAGGTTTGACTCTTTACCCGATGAGGGGTAAAGAGTCATATCGGTGAACAAAAAACTACTCTAGTGGATTTGTCGATGGGGACCCGTCAAAATCCACTGATAAAGGCTTTAGTTTATCAGGACGAACCCTGGTGTTGAAACTAGTTGAGGCTCCAAAAAAGGCGGTGACTGCGGGAAACCACTGCTCGTCTTGAAAGGTGGTATCAAAGGAGACTTAAGAAAAGAGTGCTTCTAAAAATACCGTATAACAGTCCGTCTCGTATGCTTCGATGGCGGCAAAGTACCATGGTGAGAAAAGTAAGGTGAAAGCCGATAAAGTCGCAAATGCTTTGCTTTGTTTTTATACCCTACACCACATAATGGTAAGGGTAAGGGTGTCTTTGGGCATTTGTTTGTAACGTGGAGAAGGAAGCGAGATAGACCCATAGTTACTTTTGAGGATCTTTATAGAATCACTTTTTGAGTCGATTTATGCATGCCTGTCCGTCTGTCGATTTATGCATGTCAGTCCATTCTTGTGAACAAAATGCAGGTCGCATTTATTATCCGATTGATATGAAACAATGATTGTTTGGCCCAAGGAAGAACTCTATTGATATTGGTGATATTCGGATCATATTTAGATATAACTTCCATATATATCTTCATCCGATTTCGGGTTAATTGTGCACCAAATGGCCAATATGCCTCCTAATGATCTGAATTTCGGTACATCCCACCGAATTTAGTCTAGAAGCAAGAACATCAAATTTGGAGAAAATTTGTTCAGATATAGCTATAGCTCCCATATATGTTTAATCCGATTTGGGGTTTTAAGTCCCTCACATGCATAATATGCACTACACAAGAATGATATTTGGTACCGGACATCAGATCGGTTCAGATTTCGATATAGCTCCCATATATATCTTCAACCGATTTCGGCTTAATTGTGCACCAAATAGCCAATATCAGCAAAAATGACCTGAATTTCTGAACTTATCCGACCGAATTCAGTCTAAAAGCAAGTACATCAAATTTGGAGAAAATCGGTTCAGATATAGCTCTCATATATATGTTTCATCCGATTTGGTCTTCAAGTCCCTCACATTCGTAATATGCACTATTTGGTACCGGACATCAGATACTGATCGAAAATACCTCTGCCAAATTTTATCAAGATCGGTTCAGATTTTGATATAGCTACCTTGACCTGAATTTTGGCGACCGAATTCAGTCTGGAAGCAAATACATCAAATATGGAGAAAATCGATTCAGATATAGCTCCCATATATATGTTTTATCCGATTTGGTGTTTGAGTCTCACACATTCGTAATATGCATTCGACAACTATGATATGTGATACCAGATATCTTATAGAGCCTGGAAATATCTTTGCAAATTTTTATTGGGAACGGCTAAGATTTGGATATAGCTCCCATATATATCCTTAGGCCGATTTCAGGTTTGGAACTCCATTTGTGGAAGTCGGCTCCGATACATATTTATTTTAATATAATCCTTCTCGAAGTGCTATCATGCACCCTATAGCAATGTTATTTGCTATAAAAGATTAAAATATCTCCTTCAAATTTAGTGAAAATTAATTCAGAATTGGATATGCCACCCGTATATTAGTTCCCTCTGAAACCAAACTATAACTGCTCTAAAGCCAACTGTTATTAGGTGGTATGTTCTATTTCAAATAAATTCTTTTGTTGCGGGAGCTCTACTAAATATGCATAGTGGTGTAGGGTACCATATAGTGGGCCCCGCCCGACTTTTGACATTTCCTTACTGGTTTTTTTTTACGTCTTAAAAAATACAAGTTATATTTTCCTCACTTATTTATGTTCTATAATAAATGTTTCTTTATTATAATTTTAAACAACTATAAAATACATATATAAAATCATCTTACATCTTGTAACTAAACAAAAAAATCAATACAAATAATAATAATAATATATAAATTAAAAAAATTGTTCTTAGCATCTAAACTCAGACATCTATCTATTTACAAGAAACCAACAAAAACAACAAAGCAATGTCGCTTTTTTTCAAGTTTTCAACCTAACGTCGATTAAATCATTATACGAGTTAAGAATCTTCGAAATATAAACGTATTTTTATATTCTTAAGGAATTTACAAACAGCATGGCACTTAAAAAAAAAAAAACCTACAACTCTTATAATTCTTTTTATTCTGTCGAAAATGAAAATTCTAAAAAATAATATACACACACAATCACAAAAATATATAATTATCCATTCTCGCTAACATTTAAATGAGAAACATTATGGAATGGTTTCGCCTTAGAGTAGAGTTGTATCTCTATTCCTGCTTAAAAACAATAATGAGAAAAGTTGGTTGTTTGTTTTTATAGTTTTAACTTAAAATAGGTTGTTGACGGTGAGAGCATCTGAATAAAACAGTTAATCTTTGAGATACTGTTCCAATGGATTCGATCCACTTAATTTAGGTGTTTTTGATGATGATGATGAATTTGTGTCACCTGTCAAATAATAATAAATAAATAATTAATTTCATTTTCGTTCTTTCTTCTCTTTCCAGATCATTTTCACTTACTTGTTGAGGTGTTTTGTTGCTTGGCATCATTCTGAGCACCCACATTTGTTGCCGTGATATCTAGTCTTGTTGCTTGCAGACATCCAATCCACTCGTTAAGTGTTATCTTCTTATCACCGTTTACATCACAATATCGTGGCATTTTTCGGCCACATTTACGCAGATTACTAAAATAGAACCAGATTACATGAGATTTATTCTATATTTCGTTTTCGTGGAGATATGAACTTACTTTACATTATTAACCAATTCCCGGAAAGTTTTCCATTCTTTCTTTTCCCAAGCAGAGTTTTTATTCTTATCCAATATAACGAAACTTAATGTGGCTATGCGTTCATCTTCCGAACTAAAGTTGGTCGTATTTACACTGAAAAAAGGAAAATAATGCAAAATTTTTATTTTGAAGGATACCAATGGAAAAGGCCTAGTCTTCTAAGAAAACTTATTTGGAATGTTCATTAACTTTTCAATAAGGTTCACACTTTTTTTTTCTAGAAGAGCTAACCGGAGTTGACTTCTCTTATAGAAAAGTTCAAGGTAGAGGACATATCTTCTAGAAAAGTTCATCACGGAAGACTTTTCTTATAAAAAGTTAATCAATGAACTATCATTAAAGATCAATTTTCTTCTCTTTTTCTCTTTTTAAACAAGTAAAATAGTATCAGTCGGTTTTACCGACAGATGTATACCCCCAGCCTTGAGTTATGATTATCCAAACTGTTGACTCTTTATGGGAGAGGTTCGGAAGCAGTTGGCCAATATTGAGCAATTCGTATCTGACCTAAGACTGATATAAATATTATAACGTGCCAGATTTGGACTATATCGACATCTTCTTATACTTTATACGAAAATGTGGAAATATGTGTTAGGTAACAGATATAGCGGACCGGAGTATTCCATTTTAATCTAATAGATATAAAAATATTAGTATGTGCAAAACTTGAAGGAAATCGAACATAAAGCAGATTTTTGGTTAAGAGAAATATTCGCAAAGCAATGACAGATATAAGTATTGATGGTATTGGGTGAGGTGCCAGAAGGGGTTCGCAGATATATATCATCTTCACAACAGATTTTGCATTAGCAAAAATATTCGGATGTGTGAAATTTGAAGAGAGTTGGATGCTTATGTCGCTTTTTTTGTGCGTTTTGTTTTTCAAAATCTTGTACCCTATGTGAGGAGGTACCCAAAGAAATGGTCCGATCTGTACTATCTTTATAACAGATCCTGTGTTGATGGAAATATTGAGATGTACCAGTTCTGAATGGAATCGGATGTACATTTCGCGTTTTAAGAGCTTCATGGTTACTCAAAAATTTGACCCTTTTTGGGGTAGGCACCAGAAGAAGTGAACCGATATATCCCATCTCTACACCAGACCTTGGGTTAATAAAATTTTGTGATGTATGTAATTTAAAGCGATCTGGATGCTTGTTTTGGGTTTTATGATCGTTTTTTTTTTAATTCAAAACTTTGACCTTTTGTGGGGCAGTTACCAAAAGGAATGGTCCGATCTCTACCATATTTATAACAGGTCTTGTGTTGATGGAAATACTGAGATGTGTCAAGTCTGAATGGAATCGGATGAAATAAATCGTGTTTTATAAGATTCATGAAAACTCAAAATTTTGACCCTTTGTGGGGGAGCTACCAGAAGGATATTTTATCTTCATCGGCTGACCTTAGGTTAATAAAAATGTTGCGACGTGTGGAATTTGAAGGTAATCGGACCTCTACATAATATTTTTAAGAGTTATAATTATTCAAAAATTTGACCCGTTGTGGGGGAGATGGAGTGGACCGTTATTGTCCATTTTCGCACTTGACCTAGCACAGATGCAAATATTAGGATTTGCAAAGTTAGAGCAAAATCGGATTATCCTTTTTCTTTCTGTTCAGTAAAAATTTTTGTGGACCGATATTGCCCATCTCCGAACTCGATTTAAGTTTGACAATAATATTACGATGTACCAACTTTGGATCAAATTGGATACTGCCTTCGAGAGTTATCGTGCGCACCAGCCAGACAGACGGACGCTCATCGCTAGATCGACTCCAAATGTCCTGAAACGGATTTGGTTCAAAGCGATCTAGGTCTAAAACCGTTATTTCTCTAGCCATATGGCTGAGGCTATAAAAAATCAATTTGATCTGCAACCAACTTCTCTATAAGATTTTTAGGCCATCCAAGTTGCATGAAGACATGTACATATGATTCAAATACTTACCCTGCATAAGAACCGGTTATGATTTTGGTTTTTAAAAATTCTTTGAGATCTTTGAGAAACACCACTTTTCGTTCCTCTGGACAGCCTTTCATGGCTCTGGTGACGGTATAAAGTGAATCGCACTGGGGTCGGCGATGTTTTACCCAGGTTCCTGGTATGGTTTTACCCGTATCCTCATTGACACACCAACAGTATGGGGTGGAATTGTAGCACTGGATGCGTTGATAGCGACCATCGATGGTGCAATCCGGTACATAATAGAACGTATTACCAAGCTGTGGAATAAAATGGAAAACATTTTAAAGAAAAATGAGATAAAATGCGAGAATGTGTCGCATGAATGTTTACCTTTTTCTCTTCCAAAGCCGCTGCCTGATCAGCTAGGCAATCTGATTCGATATCAGATTCCTTCGTCGAAATCTCGGTAGGGGGTTTTAAAACTTGAAAAAGATTCCCAAAATTTATAAAACAAATTCAAAAATTATTATAAAAACCCCAACAACTAAACATGCTCGGTCATGCTCTCAATCTATGCTTTCAGTGATGTTACAGAGTTATTCATAAAAATATGATAAAGACCCAGAGATTGGGCGTGTGGAAGAGGTTAATTTTGATATTCAGTTCCCAATTCGATAGAAATGTGGAAAAAACAAGAGAAGGAAGAAGAACAAAGGGACAAAGGAGTCCAAGAAATAGAAGAAGAAGGAAGAATAAATAAGAATAATATACATCATAGGACATAGATACACATACGTAGAAAATATTATTTATAAACATGCAAAGTACGTACTATATATGGATGGAAATTTGGTCGATGAACCATCATCATCGGTCTCTTCGTAATCATCGCCATCTTCGTAGTCCAAATGTTGGCTACTGCTATCTTCATCATTATCAGCAGCAGCATTGCTTTCATTGTCCTCATACGAATCTGGACGTAAACGATTTTGATGGTTATTATTATTGTTATGGTGATGCGGTATGTTGTTGTTAAGATGATGGTGTGGTTGTTGTTGTTGGCTGGACGTGCTCGTGAATTGCTGTTGTTGTTGGTGGTGGTGTTGTTGCTGATTGCTGTTGTTGTTGTTCGTATTGGCCGTGTTCGAGTGTATAATATTGTTTTTGCGATGCTTAGTGTTATTCTTGGTGGTTGTGGTGTTGTTATGTTTTTGACCCATAATTAGTAAATGACCTAACGAGAACACATTTTGATTTTTCACAATTAAATTAAGCCAATTAATTGTCCAATTATTTAACGACATTTAAAACAAAACAAAAAGTCCAGAAACGACAAATCATGCGAATATTTATTTTTTTTTAATTTTTAATTTTTGTTTAATTAACCCGAACATGTAGAGACAGTACAGATCAGATAATTATAGAGAGAGAAAGGGGTAGGGATTTTGTGTAGGATAGAAAGTGTCAGCGTTACTTACGATTGGAGCCATCCTTGGAGAGACAACTATTCCATTCTAATCGCGACAGACGTTCATCACTGTCAACATCACAGAATTTGCCAAATGCTCGTCCACAACGTTTCGGTTTGACAGCCTGATAAGAGGAAAGAATTCAAGTTATATTGAAGGATGAATTTTAAAATTTCGAAATCGAACGACAGTAAAAGTTATTATAAGGAAAATTTTTTTTACGGCTTGTTTCTGTAGGAAAACGTAGACCTAAATATTCAATATTCGGCCACCGGATCTAGAACCCATTATGAACTACAAACTACCAATTTTTAGACAAATCCGTGGAAAAAATCATCAAAACACCGAATATCGGGAGGTACCGTTATATGGGGGCTATACAAAATGGTGGACATATGCACACAATGTTCCGCCACCGGAGCTAGAACCCATTGCGAACTACAAATTTCAATTTATGGACAAGTCTGTGGAAAAATGTGGCAAAAATCATCAAAATACAGAATATCGGGAGGTAGGGTGATATAGGGCCTATAAATGCATTGTTCCGCCATTGGAGCTAGACCCAATTACGAACTACAAATACCAATTCTTAGACAAATCCGTAGAAAAATGTGGAAAAAATTATAAAAATACCGAACATTAGGAGGTACTGAACATATCGCAATATTCCATTCGGCAAATATTGAAAAATAAGCTCGGGGTAAAGCCATTGAAATTCCAAAAAGTGCAATAACTTACACCGCACCAGGAAGAAAATAGACTCAAAAGAACTAGACAGTTGCTTTGCTTGGCCGAAAGTGGTGAACTATCGTATTTGGTTTTCTCCGATGAGAAAACATTCGTTGTCCAGCAGTTTGTAAACAAACAAAATTATCGCGCTTACTTGCCAAAGCTGAAAATGTGCACCTTCGGTTGGCCACCACAACTCAAGCGCCGGGCACGGTGATGGTGTGGGCCTCCATGACAGCCGATGATTGCTCTCCGCTCCTATTAATCGACCGTGGCATCAGAATAAATGCTGAATATTATCGTGAAAATATTATGGAGGGTGTATTAAAGTCTTGGGCACGCAAACATTTTGACCGCAGACCTTGGACATTCCAACGGGACTCAGCACGCGCCACCCAAGAATGGTTACAAAATGAGGTTCCTCGCTTCATTTCCAGCGCACAATGGCCACCAACATCTCCTGATACTAATCCGTTGGACTATAGTGTCTGGAGTATTTTGGAAAGCAATGTTGGCACTAAAAAATACCAAAGTGTCGATCACCTCAAGCAAGCGCTTCGTCGAGAATGGGCCAAAATACCGCAGAGCAACATTCGGGCAGCGTGTGGCGGTTTCATTGGCCGTTTGAAGGCCATAATTCGTGCCAAAGGTGACCAATTCGAACAAATCTAAACTTCTTCTAAAATTTGATGCTATTTCCGACATATTTAGCTATCATTCAATATAATTTGAAAAAAAAAAATGGAAAAATTGTGGCGATTGACTTTGTTGCATTTTTTTTTATCTCACCCTGTATATACTTTATGGGGTCTACGGCGAATATTTAGGGATAAGTAAGTTAATATACCCCTTTTTTCAAGGTGGAGTGTATAAAAATACATAAGAATCAAAAATTTGAAAAAAAATATACAAGTAATTTCAGTTTTTCTTTCGACTTCATTTTCAAAACGTCATACAAAAAAGGGCCATCAAAACTATTAAATTACGAAAAATCCATGTTCTTAACAAAAATGTTTCTCTAAGAAATTACATCTAGTTGAACTTCATTACTTACCCTCTTCACCAACTTCTTCAATTCACGATATTCATTTTTGTCCAACATTTGATTACGATTCACATCCAAATTGGAAAATTTCCAATCCATCACCTCCGTCTCGCTTGGTGGATTGAAAGTATCCAAAGATGATGCTTTACTACGACTGCCGCTAGCCATCTCACGCTGATACTGTGTACTCTTACTTCGAATATATTCACTTTGAAATACCCGAATCAAATGACTGTTAAACGTGGCACGATCTTCTTGGGTACATGGACGTTTGCGGTTGCCACCATTATTTCTGGACGGTGAACGCCTTACATTTGCTTTGCTAAATTCCCGACACTTCGGCTTGCCCGTCCTCACTGTGGTATCATTGATTGGCGTGCCCATGGAATCGCTACACCAACAACCCTTATCCATGAGACATTGTATGGGAGCATAGGTGCCATCCGATTTACAGCGTGGTATAAATTTTGGTGGATATTTATTGCGATGTCGGAGGGCATATTCACGTGCCTCGGCGCAGGCTGTTACAAGGTAAGGTGTTATTTAGCCATGATATGGAAGATTTAATGCTTTGTATTCTTTACCTTTACAGGGTCCACGATATTTCAGACTGACTTGATGACCACTGCACTGTACCCTTAGCAGATGACATCTTGTGGGATATGTTTGATCATCGGTACCACATACTGGCCTTCCTTTGCTTTCATCACATTCGCCCAGCTTGGCAGCACATTCGGAAATCTGAAAGTTAAATACATAAAAAGAAAATAATATAAGGAACTTCACAGAAAATTTTCATAAGGTAGGAAAACACTTTTCCATAATTAAAAGCGGAGAACGATTGTACTTTTTATAACCTCAGCCACATGGCTACAGAGTGTATATATCATTTTATACTGACAAAAACATGCCTCATCGAAATGGAATTAATCCGTTGCACTACATATGGAGTCGATCTAGGGATGTCCGTCATCTGGCTGGCTGAACCGCACAATAACTCTCGGAGGGTACATCGAAATATTACGGTCAACATTTTCAAAAAAATAACTGACCCCATAGATCCCAATATTTTTGTCAGCGCCAGGTCAGTTGCGAAAATGGACCGTATCGACCCACTTTCGAATAATAATAACATTGAAAAAAAGTCAACGATTCTTTTAAAACTTGGTTCATCTAAATATTTCTCTCAACCTGCGATCTGATGTGAATTTGGAATTAATCAACCGACTCCTTCAGAACCTGCTCCCTAAAGGGTCAACAGAATAATCATAACGAAAGTCGAAATACATTTAAATAAACGGACATAGGCTGAGGGTATACACCTATCTTCAAAACGGGATGATACTGTTTAACTATTTATACCCTCAGCCATATGGCTACAAAGTGCATTTATCATTTGGTACGGCCAAAACGTGCCTCATCGAAATAACGCTTTTAGACCCTAGGTCTCTTTGGACCAAATCCGTTTCAGGACATTTGGAGTCGATCTAGGGATGTCCGTCCGTCTGTCTGGCTGGCTGGTGCGCACGATTACTTTCGGAGGGAGTATCCGATTTGATCTAAACATCAGGTCAGGTGCGAAAATGGATAATATCGGTCCACTTCATCCAGTACCTCCCTCACAAAGGGTCAACATTTTGAATAATTATAAATCTCATAAAATGTGATGAAAGAGTCCGATTGTCTTCAAATTACTGATATCACAATATTTTTATTAACCCATGGTCTGGTGTGAAGATGGAATATATCGGTCCACTCTTTCTGGTACCTCCCCCACAAAGGGTCAATATTTTGAATATTCATGAAGCTCATAAGACACGAAATTAACATACGATTCCATTCAGACTTCATACATCTCAATATTTCCATCAACACAAGATTTGTTATAAAGATCGTAGAGATCGGACCAATTGTTCAGGTACCTCTCCCACAAAGGGTCAAAGTTTTAAACAACCAAAACGATCATAAAATCCGAAATAAGCATCTGGTTCTCTTCATATTTCACGCATCTCATAATTTCTACTAACACAAGATAGGATATATCGAGCCACTCCTTCTGGGACCTCCCCACAAAGGATCAAATTCTGAGTATCCATGAATCTCATAAAACGCGAAATTAACATCCGATTCCATTCAAACTTGGTACATCTCAATAGTTCGATCAACACAAGATCTGTTATATATATGGTAGAAATAGGACCATTTCTTCTGGTATCTCCCCCACGTAGGCTTCAAGATTTTGAAAAACCAAACGCTCAAAGAAAACGAAATAAGCAGCCAACTCTCTTCAAATTTCACACATACAAACATTTTTGCTAACACAAGATCTGTTGTGAAGATGATATATATCGGCGAACCCCTTCTGGTACCTTACTCACAAAGGGTCACAAATTTCAATACTTTTATCTGTCATAAGCGAAACAAATTAGCGATTTTTGCAACTAAATATTTCTCACAACCAGAAACCTGAGATGAATATGGAATATGGAATAATCCTTCCAAATAAAGGGTAATAACTCCTTGGCCTATTTCCTGCAAGGTCGATGGATCTATAGAGCCTTGACCAAAAGTCCAATTTCATATGCTACCGAATAAAATATGTATAAGTATCAAATAACAACTATTCCCCAGCACTTCTACAACATTGAAACTTATTAAATCCAACTTCAAAGTTAATGTACCACCCAACCATTCCCTTCCATTTTAAAGTGAACATATAAATTATCTCACAACACACTTCAAATGACTTTGTGAAAGATTCAAACACGTCCGAACTTTATAATCCAATGAAATAGAAATAGAAAAAACAATTTTATCAATTAGTAATAAAATAAACAAATGACACAAAGCCTTTAGCAACGGCAACAACAACAACAAAAATACACTCCAACAAGCCACCAAGACTCTCGAATATCCAATGGCCGTAATGTTGGTGGCAACAACAGAGAGTGAGCCATGAAATCGACTGACTGGTCTGTTGGCTGGTTAGCTGGTCCACATAGCCTAAAGCAAGTGTAAAATATTAAAAATTAAAGAAAAAAAGTATTTTTTTAAAGCCTTACTGCCATATCACCACCGACTGTCATTTAGCTGGCCACATATTTCACATGCGCCATAATCATTAACAAGACAATTTGTAGTTATGAGTGACGGACTCGATTCCATAACTTATCTGTAAGTGTGCGTGAATTTGATAAAAATACATAGAAGTTTTTTTTTTATTTGAAAATGTTTTTTTTTTTTCTCACAATGTCGATTTGTAATAATTTATGAATTTGGAGATTTTTTTATAGAAACTTGTAAAGCAAATCCTTTCAATAGTTCCATTTTTGCATAATTAGTTTGAAAGTTACTAATCTAGAAATGTCTGTAGAGGTAGGTTTCTATAATTATTGTTGCTTAGTTGAGCTGAAGTTAGTCTGAAGCAAAGATTCCCTGATTCGATTCTAGGATAATGGGAAAAAATCTTAATCTAAAATGTAATCTTCGTCGTTGGAATAAGTTTGAACCTAATTTCATTGACTTATCTCATGTTTTTTAAGCAAAAACTTAACCTCACTTAAATGTCAACATACCTTCGTTACCGGAAAGTAATGGTTGGAGATTAGAGAGAAAGCTTTATATGATTCTGACAAGAATACAACTTAATTTAGCCCGGTTTGGTTTTAAGATACATGTCACTCGGCAGCTGATTTACTCTGAAGCCTTTGGTTCATTGTTTTCGTTGTTTTTTTTAGCGTAAAAGGGCTTTCATGATCCAGAGAGGTACAGAGGTATAAGTGCGGTCCCACAGACCTTTAACAACAGATCTATCACTGAACAGAATCTATCACTCTAGAGCGGTCACAGAAGTTATGGGGGAATTCAGAGTGAATACCGTACTAGGAAATCAGACCAATTTTATCGCAGATGACAATTGATTGCTGCCTCGACAAATCTGATTATTTTTGGCACAATTCGGATCTGCATGGTGCAGCCGCCTGATTTCGTCACCAGTCCAGAATGTGACACAGGCCCACATGACATGCTGCAACTCTTTAAATGCCTGGCCAGACCCAATCTCTAACTCCCGTATCGCTATGTACACAAACCATTGGGGCGAATTTGGATTTAGAAGTAGAGCCAAGTTAGAGAAGAATCAGAAGGAACTCAACAGTATGAGCTGCTAAAACAACAACCTGTTATCTAACGCTTACATAGTTGATCTAACCGCCTTTTTTACTGCGAGGAATATGAAGATATCCGCCACTAAATCGACGGCCACATTTTGCACCACATGGACTGCGGAGATGAGGCTATCTTTGAATGACATGTTGTAATTCCGACCACCAACTACCCCAAGGCCTAAGGGGTCACATACGTTAGCCTCTTTAAGTCGTCTGCGAATACCACAGCTATCTGCGATGAGATTAGAAGAAGGAACAAGGTTCTCAAGTCTCTGGCTGGCGGCACTTGGGAAGCTGATAAGGAAACCTTGCAGACCTCTTACTACGCGATAGGTAAACTATGCGGCTCCGGTGTGGTCCGCCAACGTTAGTGCTACGCAGTGGAAAAATATTCAGTCCTGCCAGAATGCCGCCCTTAGAACCGCAACAGGGTGCCTCCTCATGACACCTGCCGACCACCCACATGAGGAGGCGAAGGTCTTACCGATGCGACAGCGCAATAAAATGCTGTCAATGCAATACCTGCTTGGGTGTCACAGACAGAGCCATCCGGAACACCATTTGGTCGATAGGCAACCTCTGCCCAGTCATGTAAGGAAAAACCTTCACGATCTAGAGAGAGAGAGAGAGAGAGTTACAGAGGTATAAGAGAGAGCCTCTAAATCAACAGGGCTATCAAGCGGAACAGAATAGTATTCACTCTAACGCGGTCTGAGAAGTCATGATACTAGAAGGCCATCCCACTCCCATCGCAGCTAAAGAGCGATACCTGCACCGGGTCGATCGGACCCGGATCGACAACGATGTGTAGAACATGGACCTGTGCCACGAGCTGGACGGCACATGATACGCTGCACTCTGGGGAGTACGCCTGTATGAGTGATCTTTTCAGGTATCCTTTGGCTAGATTCTTCACTCTATGGCACTCAGTTGATTCTACAACACCATCGAAATATGGTCTAGAGCAACTACTGTGGATGATGTCGCCAATGTCTTATTTAATTAGATTGCCATAAAAATGCCTCACATCCCTAAACGATTCTGGCCAATTTCTTTCTATCCCAAGCAATTTTGTCTCAGTGTAATTGCGATATGATAATATCATGGAATTAATAATATTTGTTAGCCTCATTAGATCTCTAGCTTCTACATTGGAATTCAATTAATTAGTAATTATACCACATTTGGTTTAAATTTGGATAGAAGTAATGCAGTGGCCGCCTGACGAATGATGACTGTATTGGAACATTTATAGCAAAAAAAAAATCAAAAACAAACGCCCTTTTTCTGGCATCTTTACAAAAATAGCATGGAATAATTTTTAATGTCATTTTTCTCGATCAATTTAACGGCTTTCTTTCTTTGAACCTCTAAATCTAAATGCGATTGGAATGTAAAGTATGCATCTGTGCCTGCTTATTAGTAGTCGCCACTGCATGGATGGTAGACGTTCAGCGCCACTAACAAACATGTTGTTGATTTTTTTAGCCATTGGCAGTTATGACTGTGGTAATAAGTAGAACAAGTTGAAATAAGTAGTTGGGTCGGCCTGGACGAAATTTTTGTATAAAACTT